ACAACCTGCCGTTAGCATTGAAATTGGAATCGGAATTCAAAAGTCAAACATTGTTCTCCGAACCAAAAAACTTACCGAAGCAGAAATAAAATAAACTCTCCAACAAACGACACCATGAGACAATGGACTTGGATAAAGATGCAGATCATAAAAAACCGGTATGGGCGTGGCTGCAATGATCTTTTAAAGAAAAAAATATTCAACTGCGGATGATAAAGTCGACTTAAATTTTTAATTTTCCAAAAGCCGTGCGTGTAAAGTATTTTAAAGCAATTTCAAACAAGGGCAGCATATGAAGAAACTGAATATATATATATGTTTATGCATAAAATATCTTAGTTAAAGTATTTGCTTGTTTTGTAGCCCGGACCCATATTTTTTTCAACCAACTCACTAACCGGGCCCCTATTCAAACCGGCCCTTATTCAAGCACGGGCGCTTGTTATTTTCGATCGTTACAATAATTAATGTATTGTTATTTCCAGTTCTCAAGTACGATTTAAACGAGAATAACGAAAATTCTGACTTTTTCCACGCACCGCAGGTACAAATCCGCAAAAAGAAGAAAAGTTTTGCGACGCCCTATCAATATTGAAAGGACGCACTTGGGCGTCGCGACGCCCAGTTTGAGAACCATGGTGTTACGTAATCAGGCGCGCAGCCAGGATTTTCAAAAGGGAGGGGTTTCAAAATCGAAAATTCCAATTACCTGTCTAACAGTCACGGCGATTACGTGCTCGTTAAAAGAGCCGCCTTTTCAGCGTATAATGATTTTTCTGTTGCTTAAATTATTCAACCCATGACAACTACGAAATTCGAAAATGTCCTTTTTATTAATTTAATTGTGTCCAACGTAACTAGCGGTTGCGATTTCTTACGTCAAAATAAAAACATTACTTCTCTAAAATACCACGGCGATCTGTGGACATAAAAAAATATGAGATAAGCTGACTGATGTATTTAATTTTGATACGTTATACGCGAACTCGTTATAGCCTATAGAAAATTCTTAATATCTGTTATAAAATTCGTGTAGTACAATTTTACTTCATACAATGAAAATACATATAAAGTAGGTTATATCAGTAAATCGAATACACATATTCACCCGCCTTCACCGCCTCGTAATCCATGTCAAACAGTCGCCGCGGTAACACCACTTGTTGAAAGAGCCGACTTTTTCAACGAAAACTGAATTTTCTGTTGTGCAAAGTATCAATCCACGACCGGTACGGGCACATTTAAAATGTCTTGCTTTATTAATTTAATTGTCATTAATTTAAACTGTGGTTGCGTCGACAAAACAAGAGCCACTCTAAAACACCACGGCATTCAGCGGGCATGAAAATGTGTGGTAAACTGCCCGATTATATATCGTCACGCTAATAACCGAATTGCGTAAGTCATTTTTGGCGATTTTGAGTTTTTTATAAAATAGGTATTTATGTAATGCTGCGCACCTGTCTGTTAACTCAGATTTTATTTTAAGAATTCCGAAACCCATAAAAAATGGAGATTTGGTATGACATGCACATTTGTGCAATTGTTTTGTCATAATGAATTACATTGTTACCGCAGGACTATTGTGACGTCACAAAGGCAAAATAACCTCGGCAAAGTATTTTCGGATTTTAGCTTAGCGCGTATTAATTTGAATTTATACCACAGTCAGGGGCGGACTAAGCCCCTTTGGTGCCCTAAGCACTGGAGGCTTTGGTGCCCCCATATGTGTCTTTTACAATACAGATAATTAAGTGTATTATCCATCAAAAATACTCACAACCAACAGTAAAAAAATACAACTTCTACGAACATTTTTAGGTTTTTTTACAATTTTTTGACTGTGAAATTTTGCTCATGTTTCCAAAACTAATCTTATTCTTACATAATACATCTTTTACATTAAATAATGAACAACACAAAATTTTGAAAAGATGAAATTGAAATAAAACAATACCAACAGTAAGGAAGCAAACGATGTTTTTTCGGTACATTTACTTGAATTTGATTCTGATAAATTTTCTCATATTATCAAAACAAGTCTCTCTCCATACTAGATACTACGCCACTGACATTACAAAGGCACCACTAACATTTGAAAAGACAGAAGTCTTTCACTTACTTTTGAAAAGTTTTTTCCTAATTTTTTTAGCTGCAAAGTCTTTGATTAGATCCTCAAAACTAAGATTAGGTAACACATCTGCCTCTATACTCAACAGAGATAAAGCATCTAGTATTCTAGTCTGTCTTGTTTCATAGTTGTTCTGTAGGGGTTTTTAATATACTTCAGCTGAGAAAATGAACGTTCTGCTGGACAATTTGTGATCATTAATGTTGAAAATATTCGAAAGCTATTGTCTACATTTGGAAAGGCGCACTCAATGTTATATTCTACAAGAATTTTGTAAAGTTCAGCATGACTGAATCTTGATTTTTTTTTCCTGTGTCATTGAATTTATGGAGCACATATAAATGAAACTGCTGAAGCTCAGCTGAGAAATTACTGTTGAAATCTTCTGGGTAAGCATCAATAATCTTTCGACAACCCTGCGAATACCTTTCCTTCTCAGCGGATGAAGAGACATTTGGTTGCAGTGGTAGCGTGAGCGCTTCATAGCGTTCAAATTCATCTCGTGGAGTGCGCAGCTGGCATGATGCATACAGATGCGCGCATGTTTGTAAGTCTACATTCTCACTTTGCAGAACTTGACTTATTCTGTGAAAATTCTGTAAAATTTCATTCCAAAACAATAACATAAAACGAATTCCAGCTCTTGCATTTTATCTGCAATATAAGTAGTCTAGCTGCCTAGGTTTGCATCAACTGGCTTAGCAGAATATGATTTCCATATATCCTGGGAATTGTCGCGATTAAGACTCACGCGTCAAGTCTCAACGTGAATCGAAATACCAGATGAACCGAGTACAAACTGCAGTTTAAAATTTTACCAGTACTTATTAGTCTAGTCTACCTTACCAGAAAACTCCCCAACTTCGCTGACCACTAGATCGCTGAAATGCGATCGCGGAACCGCCACATAGTGCGCCATTCCAAATTTTGATGTTGTCGCTACACCAAACTTTCGACAAGTAAGTTTCAGTGTTCATCACTAATGTACCTTCCCCGAGCATCAACCTCCTTGTTGACTTCGAGTAATTGGCCAATCAGCAAGATGCGAAAAAGTGACGTAACAATGCACCCTTTTCGCATCCTTTCGCACACTTTTCTCACTCAGACAGATTTTCAGGCATGGTTGTAAACATTACCTCGTTTTCGCATTTTTTTATCTCTATTCGTTAGTTTTTAGTTGTGTTTCGGAAATTTGAGTATAAATCAGATAATTAAATGATCACCATGTCTTTTTATAAGTTTTAATTCAATTGCAGTAAATGAAAAATTGGTGTAAAAATAGCTGTGTTAGACTAGGCTAAAATTCCTTACCGGTATTTATAAAAAGGTGATTATTGTACGCCATGAAACATAATGATAGTCTCAACAAATATCCCATTTTACAGGGGCCAACTCGCGAAACCACTCTTAAAATAAGCCCCGAGAATTTTGCAATTGTAAAGTATAGGAAGAATTTTTCGGGGGTCAAAGGTCGGGGAAAGGTCCATTGATGTACACGATTTTTTAAAGGTAGTTCGCAAACCTCCAACCATTGATCGAGAAGCTTAATATGATGCTTGCGGAAAAGAAAATACGAACAAGTCTGAGTTGTCTGTTCAACTCGTAATATTTTATGAAACACCGATGAACTATTGAAAATTCTGTTATAAAAATTTCTGTGGTGCCCCCCTTTGCTTGGTGCCCTAAGCACGTGCTTATATTGTTTACTGGTTAATCCGCCCCTGACCACAGTATAAGAAGACGTGCACTTGTGATATTCACTGTCCAAGTCCAATTCACCTTGGTTGGCTTTTATATTGGGTACATTGCTGTTTTATTCTTTATATCTAATCTTAGTCTTATTTCGGTGGGTGTGCAGAACGTGTTATATTGATGAATTATATATTTTTAAACATAAAAAATAATGTAAATGAAACTGATTAGCTATTTTGGGGATTAGACATTGTAGATACTGAGAATTACATTCGTTTTTGAAATGTTTAGTTTTCAGGACTGGTGCATATAGTAAAGTTGCAATATTGCGTATGTCCCCAAGTCATAGACACATTTCTGTCAAGTCACAGTGCGCCTTTATGACGTCACTTAACTGCGTCATACAAATTAACTTACATCCGGCTACGATCAAAAAATTGAACCACGGCAAATTATTGACTCTCAATGGCATAACAGTATCATTAGGAAGTTTTTTACGTTTTTCTCAAAACTGCTAAAAATGACTTACGCAATTCGGTTATTAGCGTGACGATATTGTTTTGATCCGTATTGTTGCTTTTTTTGCAAATTCCACAAATTTGAGATGTACTTGTAACACTGACTCCTTCAATGTTTTTCTATGTTTCTTCACATTCCAAAACCTTTTATCAAGTCTCTCCACGTTTGGTCAAAATAATTCGGCGTTTGACTTGCGCGCGGTTTTCATACGGTACCATGGGTTACCAAAGCTTTCTAGTCCGACGCTTGACCATATCCGTTGATGCCATTGTACAGTGAATCAACTATGACATCCCATAATTGCATATAGTTAATAGTGGTATTGTTGTCATTCTTGTAAATTGGAGGAGGCGTGGACATTTACTCTCGAAATTACCGTATATATATTTGGTTGCAAGAAAGAGTTTGGATAGGCCCGCTTTACATGTATCAGGCTTGGCCACGAAAAACTTAAGTCGTTTTTCCAATCCCTTACAAGCTTCTACTCTACGGGGTAATACAGCAAGCAAACGAAAGCATGTGAAACCAGCACAGACAACCAAGACAAATTTTATAGAGGACTCATAAAACCAGCTAGCATACATACACCACTTGAGCCTGATCGCGCTTTTTCAGCACTTGCAAATTTGCTATTTAGCAGATAAATCTAGAAGCATTAATGCTAATGTGCCCATTATTACTTTTTGACGCTCGAAGTAGGTCGCCGATTCTTAAAAGCGTAACATCCACTCAACAACACTGGTCGCGATACTTTCCAATTGCGTAATGTTTGTATTGCTATGAAGATAAATTGAAATGACTATCCAACGCCCGAACACGAACAATATCTGAGTGACCTCGTTGAGAGTTGTTTCGTAAAAAGGACAAATTCTTAGACAGGTCAGCGCTTAGCAGTTTCAATTTCACGAAACGACCAGTGCGACCTCAATATTTTATTTTGTGTCAGCATTGTAATGGAATACATTCGAAGATTAACGGAAAGTTTAGAAGTTTGGCAATTTGTGGTCGTTGGTGTAGTTACCTTTGTAGTGATGAGAAAACTGCGCAGATACTTTACTGTTCTAAAGAAATACACGGCCGAAGGTAAAGTACCGTATACAGTATATCTCTTTGTATTATTTTTTCCTATGTCACCGCCTTGCTAATGAATAACACGATACATTTGATGCATTAACAACCAGGCAAAACAATTTTGATCACTGGAGCCAATACAGGAATCGGCAGAGCTGCGGCAATCGAGTTTGCAAAGCGAGGTGGTCGTGTTATTTTAGCATGCCGTGATACAGAAAAGGCCAAGCGAGCGGCTTATTACATACGGGAGTGAGTGATAATTTTTCAGTATCTAGTTATCTTATGTCAAATGACCTGTTCCAATACTGGTATTACAAATACCTATTTGTAATAAATAAAATTGATTGATTGATTGGTAATGACACATTTAAGCATTGTTGCATAATAAGCATCGTTTCCAACTCCATGGTGGGTTTTTACAGTGAACTTATTCTGTCACATTTTATCCTAGCTTCTTTTGTATTTATGGCCTGTTCAGATGACTGAAAGCACTCTGTTAAAAATAAAAGCAGTATCAGGAGCAAAATACAGAAATAGTTTGTAATTTACATTTAAATAATGAAATATATGCTTTGCAGAAGAACTAACAAAGGTTTGTTGGTTATTAAACAACTTGACCTCTCATCCCAGGATTCTGTTCGAAAGTTTGCAAATGACATTTTAGCAACTGAGGATAGACTGGATGTTTTGGTGAATAATGCAGGTAGGATGCCCAACATATTATTTTGGGGGAATTATCCCTTGGTGTCAAAACACACTAGGACAATATAACAGTTCTAAATATCAATCTAATAGCAAATATTATTTTGACCCATTTATTTTTGATTTAATTTAAGTCTAATGATTTACACACTGGCAACTGAAGTATCGAATTTGTTCTTGCTAGAGCAGCATTTCAATCTGCTAGGCATAAAAGCTTTTTGTTCTGTTGTGTCCAAAATATTCAGTCATTGATATAACACAAAATGCTGTAGACCTTGTGGAAATCCTCACCGAATGATGCATCAATTTTTGGAAATGTTTTAGAGATTGATAAACTGATATAGCCAATCATTATAAGTATTTAGAGCAAATATTTGTATATTTTTTTTCTGATTTAAGGGGTGTTTGGACTTCCATACGGCCTGACTGAAGATGGAATTGAAACAACTTTTGCAGTAAATCATTTAAGCCATTTCTTGCTCACAAACATGCTTTTAGATTTGATGAGAAAAAAACAAGTAGGTATTTTGCATAATTTCCATCATTATATAAGTAAATATTTATTTACCTGTGATTGTTCAATCGAATGAACTACCAAAAAATATTGTGTATAATTGTGGTGACTGTTTTCATTTCGGTTGACAAAAAAATCTCCCTCTTCCTGTCTGGAGAGAGGAAATACTGACGTTACAGTTTAATCCTAAACACAATTTTCCCATTACAGCATGCTCGTATCATCACAGTGACATCTATGCTCTATGCACGGGGTATAATTGATATAGATGATATTGTGAAAGGGGGGCACAAATCCAGTTCATACAGCCAGAGCAAGTTAGCAAACATCATGTGTGCTAATGTATTGAGCTCTCGGTTAGCTGGATCTGGGATCACTGTAAATTCTGTAAGCCCTGGTATGGTGAAGACAGACTTAGCTCGGCATAAAATTGGAGAATCTTTCATGAAGAATCTCATGTATGAGACTGTAGGCCGACTGCTTTTGAAAACCCCTGAACAAGGATGTGAAATGATTATTTCCTGTGCGTTGGATTCAGATTTTAAGAGCACAACTGGAAAGCTTTTCAGGAATGGCCAAAAACTAGAACTGAACGATGTAGCAAAAGATGAATCTACAGCATTGAGGTTATGGGATGTTTGTATGGATTTGACAAACTTGCATTGATATAGGTTGCTTCCGAGTGTATTTCAGGTAGTACTAAAATATATGTTTTCTACTGGTATTCTTCACCTTCTGCCAGTGCCATGACCCTTTAAACAACATTCCTAATTTTGTGTGGAGGTGTGAGTCACAAAAAGTATGTGGCATAAAATTAGAATTTTTTGCAATTACCACTGTTTTATTATCAGTTTAAAATATATGTACTTTTAGATATTCACATCATTATTGGGTTTGATCGGTCTTTGTGATTGTGGGTGACAGTTAGATAGGTAAATTTAGATCTTGTTTGATCGTTTTTTTTTGAAGCTGGTATGGTGTCACAGAAAACCGATTATAGCAAGCAGATAAAGTAATTTTATGTATATTTATGAATGCGTTTATACAACCGCGTTGGTCAGATAAACTATTTGTTAAAAGTTTTAGTCAGCGCACCTTCACATGGGGAGATATGAAAGTGATCTTTTGAATAGGTACAAACAGCAACTCTTATTTTCGTATACCGAATTTGAGAATGTTGCTTTTTACGGCTATATTTGCACTAGGCCAATATAGAAGAATTGCAAAATCGTCGCCCCACCGAACTGACGTGAAATCGGATGCAAACACCACGTTTCCTAGTCAAGTGAACACCATTCAGACGGCGCTGGTGAGCAGCGCGGGAAATACTGTTTGAGTGAAGAAGGCGATCTTTTATATTAGGTAAACAGAACTCACGCATGCGCATTACGTCCGATCATCACCGCCTTTTTCTTTGTTCTTTCGATCTGTCTGCGCGGACGTGTTCTTTCGATTTTCCTCGTGACACTGTAAAGATGTCGTGTTTAACCAAATGTCCGTTTATTTTGTTTCACTAACAACATGTGAGTCTGTACGCGAAGCTCTGATTACTCTGGATGGAGGTTCAACGGCTGCCGATGGGTTCGTTTTGTGCTGGATTTTATTGGATAAAAGGTAGGTGCATTCTTATCGCAGTATGGGTTGGATTTAGTCTGTGCAGTCATGCGTGTCGTATGCGTTCATGTTATACGACTTATTGAGTTAATGGCTGGTTACTATAAACTGTATTTTATTGATAATCTACCGTCTTGATCGTGTTCTTGTGTTATCGGCACCGTTTGACTCTTTCTGTCTGAATTTGCTTCATGCTGGAAGATGATAAATTACATAAACTTCCTTCCATCCAGCCATTTTTTTATATCTTGAGCTCCAGAATTTTTTTTGTAAATGCTTTAAACTAGAAAATACTGCCAGACTACTGGAATGTCTTTATTTATAAAATACCTGATATTTTATCAGAAATTCTATTACCACTGTACCATTTTTTATTTATAATTTGTGGCACATAGTCCTAATGAAAGCTAAAAAAAACCAAGACGCACTTGCTAGACCATGTGGTTAACCAATATTAACTAATTTTATCTCAAGTTCGTTTAAGTATGGTCATCCGATGTGAAAATGTTAACCATTCCTTGTTTTCAAACTCGTCAAAGATCTAAGTGTTCTTTGTTGAATAGGACCCAGTTTCAAAAGAGATTCGACATAATTTTATGTTACCTTCAGGATGGTAAATTATTCAGATTTCAGTATGGTACAATATCCTAATTCCAAGAACGTCCCGTCATTTGGTTCAATAAAACAAACACTCCATGTGTCTCACAAATGAGGAACGACGGGCAGATGAGTCATATCGCACCATGCTTGTCTCAAAAATAATCTAAATAAATCGTGGCTATCATGTGACCAAAATTGCTGTTTTATCCTAAAAACTCTCGAACGCCATGGTAAAATTTTTTTCTTTGGTAAATCAGATTATTTTTTCCAGGGGAATTCAATATTGACGTTTTTAGATAGCACTTCTTTGTACAATTTTGCGCAACTTCATCATACTGTATTTTTACCGATATTGAGGGACAACAATGTCCAGACGTCTCCCAAAGGAGGGGTGTGTGATCATCGGTAAAATGCTTTTCTCTGAAACGGGACAATGTCTCTCGATCTGTATAATGTGCGTACTGTATTGAGGGATCATGCCTGACTTTGGCAAATACCACCAAGCAACCATTTCATGCTGCAAATCCCCTGCGGGTGAAATATACGCTTCTTATAGAGCCCGGCGTGCACACATGCCATCGCCGCGGCAATAAATCTAGAAGCAAATTTTGTCGGAATTAATTGCTTTCATTCCCACTTGTGATGGTGACCGAACATAACGGGAAATTTTTGCATTCCTCAATTTACAGAGTTTCAAATAGCTCCTAAATATTTTTTAGTATCGTGGATTTTACCTTATCCTGACGATGTTGATGATAATATCGTTCAGTTTAAGTTAGTGGTATTACTTCATAAGCACAAATAATAGCATAACAACCGACATGAAAGATTTAAATCAGTGCTGACTCGAAAAACGAAACACTATTCTCGGTCTTAATTATTAGTCATTGGTTGATGGATATTTGGGAATCGGTTCACTCATTCGATTATGACTATGATCGTGTAATACCATTTGCGTTTTTCTGAATCAAAGAATGGTGGAACAAAATAAAAAAAATTAAAGCCCGTGCTAGCACAACAATTAATCCTTGTGTAGAGGGATAATTGTGGCAAAATTCATCTTAACAATGTTGGTGTACTAAATGACAGTCATCCTGACGATAAACAGTCTGAATTTATAACAAAAATTAACATGGCAAAAAGCGTGTGTGCTGTAAAGAACTTTTGGTTTTCCTAGAACTTGAAGTAGAAATTAAAACATTCCACTAGGTGCCTAGTTGCTCCTTTTTTCTGTGCTTGCCAAGATGCACCATAATTCGTAGGTGTGAATACTGTAGGTTTATCAAGAAAACCGCTAATTTGAACATTATCACACATTCCATTTATATTTATAATAATATGCCCATAGATTTTAGAAAAGTGAATAAAATATTTGGGGGATTTCAGAAGGTATTCGAAATAGTCCAGTATTTGGGTATGGCCGTCCCTATAAGTGCTTAGGTTTTCATTGTCCTAAAATAGTTCGTGAACCATTTCAATTAATTTATCCTTGAAATGACTTTTGTTATCTGTAGCTGTAACTAAGTCTCTTTTTTTTAGATACAATAGTCTACCGCAATTTAAATGAACATTACACCATCTGATCAAAATGCAGCAAGATGATTATTCGGCTGATAAGTCTGGAAGGTTTGATAGCATATCTATTTATTTTATACAAATTCTGGCCAATGTGAATAATAGTGAACAAAATAAACTATTATGAACTATATATGAACAGTTGGTTGTCTTGGTCAACAATGCCTTTCTTTTTAACCCATAAAGTCCTAATATTGTATTGCAGATATGTTCCAGATGCCATGCAAGGTCAACAGTTTTCAATATCAAACACGGATGCAAATGCTCCAGTATCTCTCAGTGGGGTGCAACAACCACAAATGAATCTATTTGGAACTGAAAATACCACTCAACCACCACCATACCGGGCCGCTCATCCATCTCCTCTCCCAAGTATGACTCCTACGTTCTCTCAACATATACAGCCTCAATATACAGAAAATCCTCTACAGTCCCAATTTTCTTATAGAACTCCACAGTCCTCTTATCAATCTCAGTCTTACAATGTAGGTGTATCTCCTGGTCAGATACAGACTGTTTTTGATTCACAACTATCAAATCCCATTGCACTGAGTCCTGGAAGTCAGATGTCTGTACCTCAAGGAATGAGAGCTGTGTCACCAAGCCAACCAGCAATCCCACGTAAATCTATAGCAGGTATGATGTCTCCTATCAGAGCACAGGGCCAACCAATGCCACCACCGACTTCACCGGCTGCTTTACTGGCAAGTAGGATGCAAGGGCCAATGTCACCACTTTCGGTATATATGTCGACAGCCCAGTCACCACAAAGAAGATCCCAACCTGTTGTATTACATGCGCAAAATATGGTGTCTGGCCAGTATCTTCCCTCAAGTCCAGTTTATCAACATCCATCAGCATATTCCTACAGCCCGCAGCAGGTCCAGACATGTCAATTCAGCCCTCAATCTTCACCTGTTGCAACTAGCCCAAGGTATGTTGACCCGACTCAGCATAAACAGATGTCTCCACTTCTAGCTACACGTGCTCAGCTACATAGCCCGCAGTCGACTCATCCTGGTATCGTTCAAGTACCACGATCTCCATTCAAGGCAGCGAGGCAATTGAGCATGGGGGTTTCACCTAATAAAGTCCAGCCTGTCAATACACAATGGCATCAGCATCCACAAAGCACCCGAACGACTTCGCAGGAGATGTGGGACAATGTTTCAGCTCCTGTGTTACCATCATTACCTGTTCTTTCCGCTGATACATTGGATTTGCTATCAACACTAACTGTATCCACAGTCTCTGCTCCTGTGCAATCATCTACAGTAAGTTAAAACTAAATTTTTTGGGCCCATTCAAATTATTGTATTTCAGGAGCTTACAAAAACACTATATAGCTAACATTGGCGAATTACGGCCCGCTGCCACTATGTTTCAGCTGAAAATAGCTCAAGGAATGTGTTGAGATTCCGATTAAATTTAGTTTTTGCAAGAGACCTATTGTAACAGTGTAAAAATTGTTCACAAAAAATAGCTTTTTACGTGGCTTGCGAACCTAGGTGGGCAAATTTGCCCAACCCTGCTATACAGTGTCAGCTGAGTGTATTTACCATGTTTAAAGATATATCCAGTAATGTTTACATGATTCATTTTGCGAACAGATTTCAACAGTTTCTGATACTCATGTACAGCAGTCTCCTCTACTTCAAAAACATTTGCTGATGCCTGTGAAACCAATTGTGCCACCAACAAACAGCAATCTATTGGTGGTTTCAGGTGAGCTTATTGATCATTTAACTGTGTCATAAATATGGTTTGGAGTTACTTTTTATGCAGTCAGTCGAATTTTAATTTGATTATGTTATGACATCTTGTTTTAAAAGAGTAATGTGTGGAATAACTAGCTATTCCCAAGATTTTTTACTTATTCCTTTGTTTTTCTTCCAGATTCAGGAAAGACTGCCACAACTTCTTTGACTGGGACATCTTCAAGTCAGCCGAAACCCTATAAGGTTGAAGCACCTCCATCCAGAAGTAATCTAAAGCATAGCGATAGACCAACATTATTAATTAAACGTTCTACGGAGGAAAATCTAATTAACTCTGATAAAAATATTGTATCGTTGGTAACAACGACTTGTACAGACTCTTCTGCTTCTACTTTTTCTAGTTCTAACATTGTGACTTCTAGTGTACATAAAGAAAATATTGATATATCTCCTGTTGACCTTCCGTCTACTGATCCTGTTTCATCAATTGTGATGGAAAATAAATCAAACATGGCTGCATCGGCTGGTGGCACTACTGTGTCACAGTCTGTATCGGTCAGCGTTATGCCATTGAGCACTGTTCCAAAAAATGTTCTTGTAGACGACAAACATTCTCGTAATTCACTTACGAGTGCTTCTGCAAGTCCATTACCACAGGTCCCACAAGATATACTTGAAAAACGTGCAAAGCTTTGTGAAATTCACAAAGCTAAACTAAAAGAAAAATTAGAATTGTATAAAGAGTGCTTGACAGAGCTCTTTTTCTTACAAAATGGTGGAAACTGCATGGACTTCATTCAATTCAAAAAGCGACCATCTGCAAAATTATTGGAGTATCTCAAAAAAATGATGCCCGATGGTCAGCATGTGCGTCGTAAATCTCGTAAAATTTCGCAAGAGTCTACAGTGAGCAACAACAGTGAAATAGCACCAACATCTCCGGCCTCTACTCTTTCTAATGCAAGTTCCAGAAAAATTTCTTCAGATGATGGCAAAAAAACGAAGTTAAAGTTACCTGAAAACGGTGCAGATAATGTATTGAAATCTGTGCAGCTTCCTGGCAATGAAAGATCGATCAGTAGGAAAAGGTGGGTTGGAATCTTTTTAAGAACTAAGTATTTATAGAGGCCATAACTGCTTTGTAATTGTGTTAATATCAAAAATGCAACTCATTAATTTTATTTTTCTGTTCATTTCTATATGGTAAATGATCTATTCTTGCATCAAGTTATTGATTTCATTATCAAAAAGGTCATTTGTGTCCGCTGTGGAAGTTATATTTTTCATCATCACCGCGAGAAACTACACTGACTTTCCATATACTATTGTTAATACTGTTTCAATTTGTTATTGCCAGGAGCACCTCTCAAGATAAAATCATTGTGTCGAGTCCAGCGGTCGTAACTGTAACAAAATCTGTGATGTCTACCCAAGTACATGGCAATCAAATCTCCACATCTAAGGGACAGTCATCTCCGCTCAGGTTTATAAAATTTTTTACACATGGGCTCCGAAAGTTTTTTTCATCTTTTAAATTTTTATGTGTATGGTTTTGTAGATTGAAAAGGCTGTCTAGACAAAACGCTTCAACTCCCCTTGATGAGAGCATTGGTTCTCAAGAGGAAATATTGGAGAGAGCAAAACAAGAGGCAGTTATTCAAAGGAAGGTTGTTGAGTTACGAAAGCAAGGTCTTTGGACACAAAGGAGATTGCCGAAAGTGAGTGGATCTTTTTGATTTATGTAAATTTTTATTTTGTGCCAAGATTGAATTGTAACCAAATGATGGAATCATGGGTGTTCCAAACGGTTCAACTTAAATGTATGGCTAAATTTTTACATTTTCGGAATAAACTAACATTTTCATTTTTTCTGTATATTGGCCATTTCGAGCAGTGAACTTCAAGACTGTGAATAAATTTCTATGAATCAAAATGATCATAACGAGACCCATTTTAGATGCATGCATACTTTTTCTATCTGGGAAACATTATTTCGAATATAGATGTTTAGTGATATGTTTTCTCGTACCACAGGTGCAAGAGCCTCCTCGGAATAAGACCCATTGGGATTATCTTCTCGAGGAAATGAGATGGTTGGCAGCAGATTTTGCACAAGAGCGAAAGTGGAAACGGGCAGCAGCGAGAAAAGTATGCTTTCAGTTTCATTTGAAAATTTCTAGAAAAGTGAAAGTAATTCTAGTGTATGTATTTAATACTAGGCAATTCTCGTCATTTCAGCTCGTTCGAACCGTTGCTGCTTATCATAAGGAACAGCATGACAAAGTAAGAAGAGCAGAAAAAGAAGAGCAAAATCGTCTACGAAGAATCGCTTCTACTATGGCTCGTGAGATCCGAACATTCTGGGGAAGCATTGGCAAGGTACTTCAAATATATTTTCAGTCCAGTTTTCTATGCATGATAGTTGTTTGCAAATTGCTTTCTTTGGATCGATACATAATTGAAGATTTCAGACATAATTATCTGTAATCAGAATGCCGATTCAAGATTAATTCTCAAATCTCTGCTTCTGTGGCATTGCTTTAATTTTGTACACAGCAATAGACTTGATACAATTGTTGCATGACTAATATGTGTTTCAGTAGGGATCTTCACTTTAAAATATATCTTTACAACTAAGCTGTTATTTTGTGTGGCTAGGTTGTTGAGTACAAACAGCGGTCGTTGCTTGACGAGAAACGACAGAAAGCTCTTGACCTTCACCTGAGTTATATCGTTGATCAAACTGAAAAGTACTCTGATTGGTTGAGTCAAGGTTTAAATAAAACTTCTGCAGGTTCAAGTCCAAGATCTCTCACAAGTTCAAAGCCGGGAAGTGATGGTAAGATTCAGTTCATATCTTCTACGTGGTTGCCAATTTTTTAACGAGATTAATAGACCTGGAGGGTGATTAACTGCTATTGTAGTATGCCCAACTCAAATAGAACAAATGTTCCACGAAAAGAATGATGACTTCCATCAGACAAGGGACGTAATTCAGAAATTGATGTTGAACCGTCTGTCTGACATTTTGTGGAACCTTTGAAACTGATTCAGTAGTAGGCTTGCTGAATATTCTTTAGAAAGTTATATCTACATTTCGGAAATTATGCTAGATAGGGGTTAATTTCATGATTTCATATCAATTGTTTGTCTCTATATTGGCCTGGTAAATAATATGTTATTCATAAATTTAAACTTATTTGGGTTTGTGTCCAGATGAATTTCTACCTCAAGGTGAGTCGAGTGATGATGAGGAGACCATTGCTGTTGCTGAGGAAGAATTGGAAAAGATTGATGACAGTGAGTATCTATGCTACTGATTAGGCTCAGTTATTACTTATTCTCTATTGTGTGACATGATTAAAATAATAATTTAGTTCAGTACTTTTGACTGGTGGAGAAACGAAACTTGATATAATTCAGTGATTCCCGATCTTCATCTGGATACTTTTCTCTCTTCATCTGGTCCAAGTCGTGATAATTATCGGTGATGTTTGAAACCTAATTTTCCTAGTTACTTGCTGCTAATTCTTGTTCCCAGCTTGGTATATGCTATAATATGACTTGTAACTTTTGTACGCAGCTGAAGATGAATTATCTCTGTTAAAAAAAGAAAGCGAGCTTCCCTTCAATGAGTTACTCAGTTCTTTGCCGGCTGAAGTTATTGAAAACATTGGTAAACCATTGGAGGAATCCGTGGATGAGAAATCTGATGCAGTGGAGGGCGAAGAGGATAACAAAGTAGGTTTTGGGGTTTAGAATTGTACTATTTAAGTCTTCCCCACACTTTACCACCCTAAGCTATTTAATTTTTGTGTGGTCATTCAGGGGAATAAATTAAATAACAATCATGCAAAATTAAGATTCTTCGGTGGTTTCTTAACTCCGGGGGAAGGTTTGCTCATTGAACAATTATAAAGGCTTTTTTATTAGATTGTAGATTTTAATGCAGTTGCATGCGTGGAGGAAAATTCTATGATCTACCTTCTCCTTTGTTTTGTATGAATACAATAGCGAAAATGATCGTTATCAAGCTTGGATCAGGGAAAACCAAATGTTTATATAGAAATTTGTTGGTGCGGTGAAAAACTTTTGAACTCCCAAATGCTCTAACATGACGATGTAATTAGAGATTACCCAGAAATATAGAGTTGATGTAGTTTCTACTACTGTATTTCATTTTTAGGGTGAATCATCACAAATTAAAACAGAAGAGCCGACAGAGTCTGAAAAAGAGGTGGGTGTTATGAGGATTAGCTTTCTTTCTAGGCGACGAAGTATTACAAGATGACATGGTTTTGGTTTGCCTTTCTATGTAATATTTTTAACATTCTTAACACTAGGCTGAGGGGAGCGATGGAGAAGATTCCACAAGTTCAAAACCTACACCTATATCTTTGAGAAGGTCAGCCAGGAAGAGAAAGGTTGACTCAACCAACGCATCTAAAAAAGATGAAGCTGACCCTTCGAAGAGGCAAAGGATTGAGCATGTGAGATTATATCATTTATTCATCTTAGTTGATTAGGTTCCCTAACTCTTTGCTGGCTGTGGTGGAATGTTTATTCTTTAATCTGCAGTCGGTCATATGCAGGGAACAGATAAAATGTAGCAATACTGCCACCTCTTTGTCATAAAATATCGAAGTTGTGGTATCCAAGCTATCAACATGCTATTTTTCATCATACCAGTTTTTTTTTTCAATTTTTCTCACTCTTTGGGAGTGCGATATTACACCTTTACAATTTGTCATTGTGCCGTGATATGCCAGCTAATGCCCTACACTAGCTATGTTGTTAGTATTACTATTACTCACTATTACTATAGTGGGACTGATTTGTAATTTTAAATGTAGCATACATAGTGTGTACTGCAGTTATTGACGCCATGAAAATATAATTGATTAGTTCTCTTATCCTGTCCCGTATTAAAATATTTGCAATTGCAACCACTAAATAGTTTGGTTCTCTTTGGAAAAAAGGATTCACAAGGTGGTGATGAAGAGTTCAGTGTGGACCAAGAATCTGGGGAAGACGATGAGGCAACTGTAGAAGAAGAAGAGAAAAGCGGAGAGGTTGATCACAAAAAGGAGATCGAGGACTTGCAGGTTGGTAAAGAGATGAGACAAATTCAATAACTGGTATTTTCATAGACTGGCTCAGGTAAAAGACAAGTTGTCTGTTTCTTGAGTTAAGTCTATGAAAATTCTATAGTCTTATGTAACTTATCTGCTCTATTGGCTGTATATGTAACCATGCAATTGATTGATACCATCGCAGGCGGAAGGAGAAATGCCTATTGAAGAATTGATGAAGTTATACGGAGCAGCGTTTGATCAGGATCCAGATGTGGAGGTAGAAAGACAACAGTCTGAAGATGAGGAGGAAGTTGATGAATCTGAAGATGATAAAGATGTTCAGATGGAAAAGGAAGAAAGTGAAACTGAAGGTTGGGGATGGAACTTTTTATTTTTGTTCAGTGGTTTTGTTTGCAACAAGATCTCAATATGCCTGTTTTATTATATTCTAGCCTTGTTCTTTATTCTATGTACATGGCAATACCAAACTGGCAATATCAACTGTCTTTCAACATCCAGCCATTCTTGTGTTTGTGGAATGCTTGGTTCCATGCAGACGTATATTTATAGACATAACGAATTTGTCATTTCTGATGGCGCTTTCTAGAAGGGTTTATGGCTACACATGCAAACTCACTTTTGTGGTTATGACTAGTATACTTGGTGATTGTTTGTGGTCACTTGAATAACACTGATTTTGTTAAATTTCCATCATACAAGTGAAAATGAAAATTGTTATGTTCATACGTTCCTTTCCCAGCTTCTGATGAAGATATTGAAGATGATAAACAAGATGAAGAGGAAATTGGAATGGATTATTTATTCAAAGCTGATCTAACTAAAGATGACAATATTCCCATGGTAAGATGTGTATTGTTATTACCTATAACTAAACTGAATCTTGTTTTTATGATGAAACAGTCGACTGCAAATCAATGTATGATGTTCGTGATTTCATTGACTAGGTCTCTGAAAAGCTGAAATGAAAGCCATTGGTGACTTTTTCTTACAATATGGGCATTTTGGGAAATTTGGTCTTTTTTTTCTAGATTGTTCCGTCAGATACCTCAGCACAAAAAGATGACAAAAAACCTGAAGGAGAGTCGAGTCCGAGCAAAGAAATTACAGATGTTGCCGCAGAGGCTGCTAGTTTACAACCTACTGGCTTTACATTAGCAACAACTCAGGTTGGAGATGCAGATGAATGTTTTTGCCCACTTTATGACAACTGCAATTTCTATGATTTATTCTATTTGTTTATTAGAATGCATTTATATATTTGTCTCATTCTTCATTGATTTCATAGGTTGTCACACCCATACCTGTTCTTCTGAAACACACATTGCGAGAGTACCAGCATATTGGTTTGGATTGGTTGGTAACCATGTATGACAAACGGCTCAACGGAATTCTTGCAGATGAGATGGGCTTGGGGAAAACTATACAGACTATAGCATTGCTGGCGCATTTGGCTTGTGAAAAAGGTCAGTTGCGCACTTCGTCTATGATTTATGCACCTGAATTGACTTTTGATAATGGTGATAATATGGCGGAGTATGGAATTAAACCTCGTTCTATCATCAATAATATGCATGCTTATGTAAAAACTTATGTATTACACAATATTCTTTGCTATCTAATGTGAGACAGGAAGGGTTTTTGATTATTTTTCCACAATTTTTTTTAAATAGATTTGACTTTGATTTGCAGTGAAAATTGGAAATGAAATTATTGCTTACATAATTTTTTCTATCAGGTGTTTGGGGTCCTCATCTTATAGTCGTTCCTACCAGTGTCATGCTCAACTGGGAAATGGAATTCAAGAAATGGTGTCCTGGTTTCAAGATACTGACTTATTATGGATCACAGAAAGAAAGAAAAGTGAGCTTTCTGAACTTAGAAATATTAGACATTTTTAGATGTTTTATTACTAAAAATTGAAAATATACTTTTTTTTTTTCAGGCGAAAAGAACTGGTTGGACAAAAAGTAATGCGTTCCACGTTTGTATAACTTCGTATAAACTGGTTCTTCAAGATAATGTTAGCTTCAGAAGAAAGAAATGGAAATATTTGGTCCTTGATGAGGTATGGATGGATTGTTCCTTGTTAAGATCTAGGTTTATGCACTTCTTACCTTGGACCTTCTTGTTTCTACCATAACAATTTCGTCTGCTGAAGTGCTAGAATAAATGGTGCAGTTGCCTAAAGGCTGACCTCTGCGATGGTTGGACTTTTTTGTTATCTGTTCCACATCAGTCTTTGATTTAGAAATACATAAATCTTAGTTAATATTTTTGGTCTGTGGTCCAAAGTGCAACTTTTGATAGTGTGTTTTTTACATATTTCTCACTCTTATCACAGCTGCACTTCAAAACCACTGACCTATTTTCTTCGACTTAAAACAAAGAATATTATCTGAACCTTTTTAGTATTAATACCCAAACCCAAGTATGAAAAAATAATGTTTGTTCTTACGCTAGCTGCTGTACATACTTTAGCCTGTGTTTCTATAAGTATCTCAAAAATCTCTGTTTAAATAAACATCCATTTTTAGGTGAGAGGCTAGTTCAGCATTGACCTCTAGTACAATGTGCATCGTATTCAATTCCTCGATTAATATCTAGCACTTCAACAACTAGGCCGTTACATCCACGAATAAATGATCAACTACTTTTTTCTTCCAGGCTCAAAACATTAAAAATTTCAAGTCTCAACGATGGCAAACTCTGCTTAATTTCAATTCACAAAGACGATTGCTTCTCACTGGGACACCATTACAAAACAATTTGATGGAACTGTGGTCTCTCATGCACTTTCTTATGCCTCATGTTTTCCAGTCTCATAAGGAGTTCAAGGTTAGAGATTGAGTGTTTTTTTTATGAGGTGGCAAAACTTAGTGAAATGCTTATCTAGGTCCCAGGGATGGTCAACTTTCAAACGCATCTTGAAATGATGGCCAGGGATGACTAGAATAAAACAATTCACTATTCTTGATATATCCTTCAATGAATTTGGTAATGCAGAATAATTCGATGAGCTTTGTTTAAATATAATTTAATGTAATTAACTTTCTTTTTTTGCAATGCCAGTAATTAATGCTTATTTTCAAAGGGCAATGTTCTGAATTGTTAGTATCTTTTCTTGAATACCCCTAAATTTCTAATGTGTTTGATTATTCAATCCGTTTTCATATATATTAATAAAATAGTTATTATTTCCTGTTTTTTTTGTCCACTCAGGAATGGTTTTCGAATCCCCTCACTGGAATGATTGAAGGAAGTCAGGAATATAATGAAAAATTAGTCAGAAGACTCCATAAAGTTCTCAGGCCATTTTTACTAAGAAGAATTAAGAAAGACGTCGAAAAACAAATGCCAAACAAATATGAGCATGTTGTTAGATGTCATTTGTCAAAACGACAAAGGTTTTTGTATGAGGACTTCATGTCTCGGGCGAGGTAAATTGCTCAAATGTTTGCTGTTCGTAGTGGCTGCAGCATAAAAAATGTTGAACATTAAATTTCATTATGCTGTTTATTGCGGGTCGGAAAATATTTTGCTGATGTTTAACATGAAATAGTCTTTAAACTTGGTATGCTTGCGTCTGTAAAAAATTTATGGCACTCCGAAAGCGTGTGTACCAATATGGAGGTAACTAATTTTGTTTGCTTACTTTACATCAAGTTGTGTAAAGGGACTGAAACCTATGGGCAGAGGGTATATTGACTCGGCTAACACAGACAGTTCCAGAGTACCCAATTTATTAATTCAATAGTTAAGTGTGTCTCTATATTCTGGAAAATATCAATACTGTGTTATCTTTTCTCCTGTCCGCTGGGATAATTATTGAATTATTATTGAGACTATTTAGTGTAATATACAGCACACTCATATTTTAATCTTCTTTCTCAGTACAAAGGACACTTTGGATTCTGGTCATTTCATGAGCGTCATCAACATCTTGATGCAACTCCGAAAAGTTTGCAATCATCCCAATTTGTTCGAGCCTCGTTCGATCGTCTCACCTTTTACATTCGATCGCATAGTGTTTTACGCGCCTTCACTCGCCACTAAAGTTTTTGAAAAAAGTCCCTTTGAGGTGGGTTGTTGTAACAGCTTCAGAGGCTGTGTATATCTATTTGTTGTTTTTCCTCGGTCAAAGACATGGGGTCTGAAATATTGTCTGACGTCATGTAACTAAGAGAGGTAGATTGTCAGGAGATCTATGCTGAGCCATCTTTACCAGTGATGCGCTCACGAAGTTTTCTCTCACAAATCTTGGTGTGTACAAACCTTTTTTAGTTGTCTGTTGAGAATTCTATTCGTTGGGAATTTTTACTTCAATTTCACTAATAAATCATGAAATTCTTGAACTCGACTTGGAGAATTCACAATATTGACTCGGGGGAGTTTAAAATTATGACTTCGGCACCAAAAACATACCAAACTCAACTCCAAAGCCCAGCTGGAAGCTGATGTTAAATATTTAATGCAATTTTTTCTCTCCTAGACATTGAATCTTGAGGATTATCATCTGCATCTACCTTCACTCACCAATATTCATCAATATAATGCGGAGAGGATGAGAGAATTAAAGACACCGAGGAAATTAATCGAAGAGTTGACAACAGATCGTGTGCAGGGAGAAAGTGAAAAGTAGGTTGATTATCGAAACATCACGATAGCTAAATATTTGAAAACTACTTCTATTACCGAAAGAAACCTTATAGATACCCTATCGTGCTTGTTCTTTTGTTCAATTAAAATTTTTACTCAAATGTAGCCATTTTGTCATGTGCGATCATGTTATCAGATAATTTTCAAGCCTCTTCCACAACATTGCTTCGAGTAAATATCTTGTGAGTAGTGTATCTAATTTATAGAGGTATATTGACTGGAGACTTTCCACTCTGCACGTTTCCTTTTTGAAATATCGTTGCTGAACTAATAGTCCTCCTACAATAATATGATGCTCGTCCTTTTTCTTTTTGAAAAAAATTTTTTTTTTTTTTTTATCAAAAATATTTCCTCGTTTTTATCAAAAAGTTTCTATTCCAGACCCCAAAGATCTAAATCACAAGTGATTCGCGAACAGTTGAGTCAACTTTTGAAGGAAAGAGAGAAACTGAAGAATTCCACTGTTGTACTAAACCAACAGGTGTGTAAAGTATCCTAGTTTTTTCGCTAAGAGTAGTTTGAATTCATATCTCTGCATGGCAATATTGAATTTTGTCACATGATTTCGGTAACCGCATAATACAACAGTAAATAGAATTGAAACAACGCTTACATAGGTAACATATCAAAAACTATTTTTATAATATTCCCATTTTTATCAGACTGGCAGCACTCTTCCTGTTCTTACTATACCAATCTCAAGTAGTGGTGGAACTACAATCTTCCCTTCAAGAGTAATTACAATTCCACAGTCTAATTCCGAAGGTAAATTGATTTGTATGATTTTAACTAAAGAAAATCAAAGATAAAAAGGTTTGAAATCCTTGTGTTGAGAAACTATTGTAATACAGTATAATGTTCTCTATGAAAACCTTGAATCCTTTTTATCAAAGTTTTGGAATTTGACTCAGTTTTTGTTACATAAATCATTTCCCTTCTTTGAGCTTTGTACGTGCATCATTCACGCTCAAGGTCTAGCTTTGGGAAAAGAGTAATCTTTCGGCATCTTGAAGGCCATGATCAATTCAGTGTTTTGGCCTGACTGTAGCCAGGACAATTTCTATTGTTTAAACTGCATTGTTTGGCTTCGTCTATCATATTAATAACTTTGTATTCTACTCGCTGTCGAGGTTATTTTTCGGTCGTCGATAGCCAGGCATGAATTTTCAACCCATTATATGACCCCGGCAAAATTAGTTATTCTATTAGTGATGTTATTTTTATCATAAAATGATATGCATGGTAATTTTAATCTCTGAAGGTAGGATCTTTCCCTTATTGTAACAGCTTTGTGAAAATTTCAGTGTTTCGCGAGGTCTTGCCAAAGGGATACACGACGTCGGTTATAATGTCGCATCGTACGTCAGTGCAGTGGCGCGACGAGCTGTACTCAACCGAAACAAAAAAACAATTCCATTGTTTGGCTTCGTCTATCATTTCTAATGACTTTGTATTCTGTTCGCTTTTGAGGTTATTTTTTGGTTGTCGATAGCCAGGCATGAATTTTCAACCCATTATATGACACCCAGGCAAAAAATAGTTATTCTATCAGTGATGGTATTTTATCATAAAATTATATGTATGGTAATTTTAATCTCTGAAGGTAGGATCTTTCCCTTATTGTAACAGCTTTGTGAAAATTTCAGTGTTTCGCGAGGTCTTGCCAAAGGGATACACGACGTCGGTTATAATGTCGCATCGTACGTCAGTGCAGTGACGCGACGAGCTGTACTCAACCGAAACAAAATGACAATAGCATTGTTTGGCTTCGTCTATCATATTAATGACTTTGTATTCTGCTTGCTGTCGAGGTTATTTTTCGGTCGTCGATAGCCAGGCATGAATTTTCAACATATTATATGATCCAGGAAAAAAATTGTTATTCTATTAGTGATGGTATTTTTATCATAAAATTATATTCATGGTAATTTCATCTCTGCGAAAGGATTTCCCTTATTGTAACAGCTTTGTGAAATTTTCAGTGTTTCGCAAGGTCTTGCCAAAGGGATACACGATGTCGGTTATAATGTCGCATCGTACGTCAGTGCAGTGACGCAGCGAGCTGTACTCAACCGAAACAAAAATCACACAATTATTATACTTTACATAAATTTATAATTTGATAGCATTAAAATATAATTTTTCTCGTGTGCAGATGCTGCTGGTACAAAGACTTCATCCACACAATCTATTACTCTTCAGTATCAAACTCCACAGGGCACTAGGGTGACAATACCAAACAAACAGATACGACAGTTGCCAGGTATGAAAAGGATTTGTTAGACTAAAAAACAGATATAAAACATTCAAATTTAGTAAAACAACTAACAACTAAACAATTCAAACAACTAACATTAATAGAACTTATTTCACTAAGTCCTCTGACAAGACAAAGCACTCAAGAGGCAAGTTGTGTAGTTTGAAGTTCCGCCTTTTGATAAGCTTTCCTTACTCTCACACACACTGAAGTGACAGTAGTATTACCTAATTCTAGGAACCTAATTATGTTGTAACCCACACAACTTTGCTTCTAAAAGGCATGTAATCTTTACGCTACATACTTTGTTTTCAAAGGTGGTGTTGTCCAGATAATGACTTCCGGATCAACGAAGTCTGTTTCAGGACAGACAGTACCCACACAAGGAGCTCTACGTGTGCCAGCAAATAGTCGAGGTGTGTTGATTTCTTTCTAATTTGTTTAATAGCATACCTGTGGACACTTGACACGCATTGTCTGACAGTGGCTTTAAACGTGTTGATAGCGCAGGAATATAAAATTGTGTCTTTTACGTACCTCGTCGTTTATATCAGTACGACAGCTTGGTCCCGTTGGTCACATACATTTCAGTTTGGTTAGGAAGTCGTTCACTTATTTGTGTTAAGTGTCTTATTGTAAAATCTGTGTGGGCAAATTTTTAACATCTCAAATTCTATAAAACCCAGGTCTTCAGAACGGTTCTTCAGACATAGAAAAAGGGCAGTTGATGGAAATTGATGAACAAAGTAAGTTTGATCTTCTGTCTGTCATAGTGAAGGGAGGAAATTAGTCAATAATATAAAGATTCTCATGTACATATCAATCATTCGCCACATTGGATTCATATGAATATGGAAACACTATTTTAGATTATTACCTCTTTATGACTGCTATATTCAAATTTTGTTTTTTCCGCACAGGGAAAGATGGTGATTCGAAGCAAGCCTCAGGTAGACTGCGTTTTCGTTCTTTTTAAAATTCTAGTATGAGTAGTTACAGTTGAGTTTTCTGGTGTCAAACCACTCCTGCTTGATTCTGCCAACAAGACCATGATGAATATAATCTGCCCTAGTCAATCTGAATTAAATTGACGAATAGATTTTCTGATCTTGTTTGAGGACAAAACAATGTTTTGTTGGCTATAGTCTATTATTGAGATAGTAGTAATGATTTCTTTTCTTGCAGAAAACGAATTTCTGGAATTGAAAGATCCAACGACATATGCAGTAAGTGTGAAATTTTTTTTCTTATCATTACCTCAATAACCTATCTTATATGACATGGCATTTTATTCTTGTTTTGGGGCTCTATATTCCTTTTCAATGCGTCATGATTTGCATCACAGAAAATAATGTGCTTGAAAAATTAAAAAAATTCATACTAAAATAATAAAAAGATGGGATATGGCAGTCAGACATAAGTTTTGTAAAGAAGGAGTCTCTTTTACACCTGTGATGAACTTATGACAAGCATATCACTGAAACAACATTTGTTGATAATGTTACATTTGTCTGAGGTGCACTTCTCCTATACCATGTTTCATATACTGGCTAAGCGTAGCATAAAAGTCAAGAATTTTCTATATTTAGGATCGTCTTCATCAAATTTTAATCGAAGAAAGACGTCAGAGATGCATCAAAATGGCAAATGTGAATGAGAAAAAATGTGAAGCCAATCCAGATTGGTTGCCACGAGGCACTATCGACTATCTGAAAGATATTTTCAAACTCCCTTACATGTAAGTTTATTACTAGATATTTTCTTATGACAGTGTGGTTTTAGGCCTGACTTTCCATTTCCCTTATCTTAGTTGTTCTGGAAAAAAAAAAGTTGTAGATTTTTAACTATGAAATGAGTATTCAAATTAACTCACAAGCAACCTCTATTGTGCTTGATACAGTTTCTCATCAACTTATTTTCTTCTGTTCAGGCAATCCAGGAACACCATTCGATTAAAAAGTGACGTGATGGATGAGTTTATTAAATCCAATTCAACGGTTTTAAAAGAAATCAAGCCTGTTACAGACAGGTAAGTTATTTTTTAGACTGCTATTGCATACTATTTTTCCTGTCTTCATGAAATGGCTAATGATGATCTGTTATATGCTGATTCTGTGATTGAGATATGAACTGCGTTGCTGAAGCCAATATTTCTAAGTTAGTTTTCATGGTGGTTCAATGTCCATATTATGTTCTAAATCTAGACTTTTATTGAAATATCTTTGATTATATTTAAGGGAACAAGTATGCATAGAAATTTCACAATCAAACCATTTTAGGCATGCTCCATGATATGCACAATCTATCAATACATCACTTCTTCATCACTCGGTGATTTCAAATGTACCTCATTGTTAAATCCCTGAGTTGATATTTCTGAAGCATTAATTAGTTTTCATTTTATCGTTGTGTATGTATAGTAAAACAAATTTGAGTCTTTTAATAACATTTATATGTACATATGACCTTGTGAGTGATGATTTAATACAAATTTTCTTAGTTACATGGCGAATGAACAAATTTTCATTTGTTTTTATAGGTTTGTATTTGCCATATCAAAGGCTTTAGCCAAGAGGATAGACTTTCACGTTTCACACCCATCACCTTCACTACATCTCAAAGAAATGACCGGGCTGGAAAATCTTGAATTCTACCTGAAAAAAGAAGTTCAACCTTTCCATCGCATTCATCAAGCGACCAAAATTCAGTTTCCAGAAGCCAGATTGATTCAATATGATTGTGGTGAGTATAGGTAATTGCACAAATCCAAATTTGAATCACTATATAATGATTGTTTTGCACCTCAAAAGAATTAAGTGCCACTTTTGAAATTGGACTTGTGCAACTTAAGTGAACTGTGATAATGATGATCATAATCTGCCCTAGTCAATCTGACTCAAATGAAGAACAGATTATCTGATATTGCAGTTCTCTTCTTCTCTAAGTGCACATTATATACAACCAAGATTTTATATTTAAAAAAAATGGAGTTCCATAAAGAACTTACATTTCTGTTCTACATGTTACAGGAAAGTTACAAATCCTAGATGTTTTGTTGAGAAGATTTTGGACTGAAAAACATAAATGTTTAATATTTACACAAATGACTAAAGTGCTCGATATTTTGGAAGCTTTTTTGAGTTACCACGGTTATCGCTATCTTCGACTCGACGGGTCAACAAAAGTTGAACAAAGAATGGTGAGTAGTTTCGCTGTATAGAAAGTACCATATTGAGCTCACTTTGCTAAAACGTCTGGCCATTGTCACCTATGATGAGCATTGACAAGCATATCACTGAATAGGCATGTTTGTGGAAAATTTACAAAATCAACTGAGGTGACAATCAGGAAGGCACGAAATAGAAATTTCTCCAATTTCTGACTAGAAATCAGTCTCTCTATTTCTCTTAACCAAATTCATTTTTTATGAATTTACAATTTGTTCTTGCTCCAGAAAGTGAAAAAATACAGGGTTGGCCTTTTCTTCCAACAATAAATATCTGTATTTTTATATCTTGATAGATTTTCGAGAATAATGAATTTTGTGTGCTTCAACTTTTTCCCAATTTGGTAAATCCTCAATTCAAATAGATTTTTATACACTGTACTAGACTATCATGAGTGGTAACTCATTGATACTGTTTTCAGTTACTGATGGAGAGGTTCAACAATGATCCGAGGATATTTTGCTTCATCTTATCCACTCGTAGCGGAGGTATCGGTGTGAACCTAACTGGCGCAGACACTGTTATATTTTATGACAGTGATTGGAATCCAACAATGGACGCCCAAGCTCAGGACAGGTGGGAAGGTTGTTTGTTAGTTGGTTGGTGTTTTTTGAGTATTAAACGTATCCACGCACCTTGTATCTACGCTCAGCTCGTGTATGAAGTCGACTGAGCGGTCGTTTTCTGGTGCTACACTGAGTCCAACTAAGCATCGTTAAACCGTACTCATTGATTGATTCGGTTTTAGTAAAGTATTGGTACAAAGCTTTCCAAATATAGAAATTTGATTCAAATTTGTTAGATAACTCTACTAATAAAATCTTTTTCATTGGTAGGTGTCACCGTATCGGACAGACCAGAGATGTTCACATTTATCGTCTCATTAGTGAGCGAACTGTAGAAGAAAATATTTTGAAAAAAGCGAACCAGAAACGCCTTCTCGGTGATTTGGCAATTGAAGGGGGAAGCTTTACGACTGCTTTCTTCAAGGAGGTTAGGTCATGTCTTGAATTAGTCTGAACTTTTATTTTACATATGATCTGGTCATATTATAGAGGTGCAGTGTTCTACATTGCTGTGCCTTGTCGGAATGACCATATACTAAATTACCGCTGTAGTCTGCACTGTGATCAACGTGAGTGTGGTCACGGTTTGATGGTTGGTTAACAAATAGCATATTTTAAGGAAATTAAAAATAGTGATGCCCTTTTGCTCTCAGTGAAGCCGCGAAAAGTATCATTGCTTTCTTATTTCAGCAAGCCATCAAGGATCTTTTCAATGAACCATCTGGTCTGGAAGATCTTCCCTCGGCTTTCGTAAAAGATGAAAAACAAACTACGGAGAAGCCACCACTGCAAGTACTTGCAAGACCGATCACAGCCAGGCAAAAAGCTATAGCTGCAGCAAAAGAAGCTGAAGCAAAGGCTGGAATTGATGTTAACGAGGAAGAATCACCTATTGAAAAGGTAGTTTCAGTTGTCTGATTATGATTTTATATTGAGATCAGACACCATAACATAAAATTGGGATATGTTGACCACTTGGGTATTACAAAACCATGCATTATATTTTGTTACTTTTAACAGCCTGTGAGCCAATCGCAAGATCCGAATGTGCAAGCAAGTAGTTGGGAGGATGCGCTTCAACAAACTGAAGACAAAGAAGATGTTGATGCTGCCAAACAACTGAAGGAAGAACAGGTTTGTTGGATTAGAGGTTAATATCTATCCTTGGCTGAGATTTGCTTGTGAGTGAAGAAACATATCTTTGCGTATCTCTGCACCTTGTATCTACGCTCAGCTTGTGTATAAAGTCGACTGAGCGGTCGTTTTCTGGTGCTATATTGAGTCCAACTAAGCATCGTTAAATCGTACTCATGTGATTGATTCGGTTTTAGTAAAGTATTGGTACAGAGTCTTCAATGTTTTATGTCTAAAATATACAGTGTTGAATTATATGAGATTTCCAAAACAGGGATTTTCTAGGTATAACATGAAACTGATCGACATTGTAACAGCGGCAAATTGTGTTTTTCCATGCTAAAAACAAATTGAGCGCGGTGGGATCATTGATTAATACTTTGGAAATAGTTCTAGTATTGCCTTAGGTACATATTGTACATTGATATTGTGATTATCACACAAGATTCTTTTCTTCGCAGGATGCTGACATGGAAGAATTTACTGAGAATGCAGAAGGAGAGGAGGGCGAAGGTTAGTTTCTCAAGTTGTTTATTAGGTCTATTGATTGAATGATGATGGACTTGCTACTTTGCATCTTGATTTATTTTGTGAAGAAGGTTAAAGTCGCTCCACTCTGACATATCTTTTCTTTCATTGTTTATTGGAAATTTTGAACATGTAATAAACATCAGTTGCGCCATGAGCTAAAATTTTCTTTATTTTAAAAGTTTCAAGAGTGCAAGAAGAGATGAAATCGTTGTATGAAGAACTCACTCCTGTTGAAAAATACGCCCTCAGGTATCTTGAAGAAACGACAGAAGAGATGAACAAGGAAGAGCTGGAACTTGCGGAGGTTGGAAGAGTTTTTGCTTCTCTTTTAGACATTGTTCTACCATAGCACTGAGCATTTCATTACAATATTGAAGTGCCGTTTTTTTCAGTTCATCTAAAATATCGCCAGTGTTAATTTTCGTGGGTTTAAAAGACGTATGTCCCTCATGTTATATTTATCTTATAAGAGTTGAAGAACAGAGCCTGTATCATGAGAAATTACTGGAGTTATGTTTACTTGTATGATGATAGTAACAGTCAAGGCATAGTTCATCTGATCTATCGTGATGCCTCAACTGAATAATATCTGACAATGTTAATTTTCTCAACCATACCCCATATATATATATAAAGTCTCACCACCTGCCAAAATTTCATATCTTAGTATTCATCAATGTTTGCCTTAATTACTCGATGTCAAGTAAATTATATGTTAGTTCCTCGGTCTCTTCCTATTCGAACATGCACATACTTGGTTCTTTATCTACCTAATAATTTTACAGGAGCAAGTTCATAGGTCGAAGCAGGACTGGGAGATCACTCACCTGATGGCACTCAAGGAAGAGGAAGAAAGAAGATTGGAAGAGGAAGAAGACGAGATCTTCTACACGAGGGATGATGCAGAGAATCAGGTAAATGAAGGAACTGGGAAGAAGGGGGGAAAGAAAAGGAGAAGAAAGAAAGAACGAGACATTTGCTTCCTCGACATGTCATCCACGTCAGAGGAAGAAGATAACGATGGAATAGATGTCGAGACTCTCGAAAATGAGGACGAACTTTACGAAGATATTCGTAGCCAGGAAGAACGAGAAGTCAACATCAGTCCTAAAAAGAACAAAAACATGCAGCGGAAAAAGAAAGTCAAAACACCACCGAAGAAAAAATCATCCGCCAAACCGAAGGACGGCAAAAATCGAGGAGCCAGCACAAAGAAAGGGGGCAAGAGATCTTTGCATTCTCCACTTCTCACCAGTCCGAAGAGAAGACGTGCATCAGAGTTGGCTTTAGACATTGCCACACATGGTTACTATCAAAACGATGAATATTACTTCTATAACGATGACGAAGACGATAGTGTGTGTGGTGAGGAACCACCTTGGGATCAAGAAGAAGTTGATAATGAATCGGGTAAAGAATTCGCTTGGTCTGACCGCGAGGATTGGCCTGATACACCGTCTGAAGATTACTCCAGTGATGATGAAGTGCCAGACGATCGAACTGTATTCATCGTTACTGATGAAGATGATGAAGCAGCTAAACATGGTGTTGGTTCGGCATACAGATCTTCACCACTGTGGGATACGAGTAACTATGGTCAATTTTCTGCTTTTGGTGGTAGAGGGCAACCTAAAAAACCTTTGTATAATATTGTGGTAGAGACTAGCGCTACTCCTAAAAAATCTATCCCCAAACCGGTTGCTAGGCCGAGAATGACAACGGATGCGATAACCAGGGATGTTAACAGGACTATCAATTTCAATGTTCAATCGAAAAATGTTCAACCTAATTTGACAAACTTAGTACCGACTATATCTCTGAAGCCCAGAGCAGCTTTACCAGCTACGCGGCTAATTAAGCCTGTTTTTTCAGCACCAAGACTTGTTTCTAATCTTCGCCAAGTTCAAGTGGTTGCCAGCAGGGCACAAGCACCAAATGTAAAGGCACTTACTATTTTTGAACAACAAGCTGCCCAGCGTCAAAAATTGCAGTCTTACAAAATACCCCTCGTGTCTGGGGTACGTGCCCCTGCAAGGGTGGTGACCTCCCAATCAGTAAGACCCGTATTTTCTCAAGGCCAGACTTTTCAACTGGCAGCTACACCCAGTCGGGGCACTGCCACTATTATTCCACTGTCCCAATTAGGAAATGCCACCCTCAATCTTACACCAATTATGCAGGCTCGAGCACCAACACCTCATGTTAGAAGGGTCTTCACGATATCCAACCCAGCCACGGTAGCTCAGCAAAGAAAAACAACCCCGTCTGTCATTGTACCAATTACTGCCCTACAACAACAGACTTATATTATACGGCAATCTAACTCTAGTTCACCTGTGCAAATAATTACAAACAGCTCAACCAATGTCACCAATGTTCAGACGGTAATGCAACAATTATCTGGACATGGCAATGTTCTTCGAACTAACACAGTTTCCAATGTTCAGACTGTTAATGCACAAAAATCTAAACGAAAGCCACCAGCCAAATCCAACTCTGTTCATGTCACACCGTCGTCACGAACTTGGCCTAAATCACCAAAAAAATCTGTCGCTCAAATTAAAAAGAAACCGGAGATTGACAGAGGTATTTTTGATATTGTAAACTCGGTCGAGTTTATGTCGCCACCTCTGCAAGATCCAGACAAAAGCTCTGGAGCTGATCGGAATGAAGAAAAGGGCAGTTTATTTGATTCTCTCGAACAAGAGTTTATAAAGAGTGACACGGCATGTGACCTAACAATAGGCAGTGGTGATGAGGATGACATGATCACCCTTGACCTTGAGCCCGTCAGCCCCAGCGACCCCCAATTACTTGACCCCAATGATACATATGAGAATGAAGAGGAGAGAAATGTTTTTGAATCCTTCCAATCTTTATTACAGCAGTAACGATTTTGTCAATGTCAACCCTAGAGTATTTTTCTACCGGTACATAGTATTTATGCTGCTACTTAATAATATCTTGTTCTACCGAGCTTCATTTTAGCTTTTGTGCCATCATGGTGGGTTTTTATGCTTCTGCCTGCTGTATTAAGAAACAGTTTTTTGTTAAGATCAGTAAAACTGTTTATTTCTTTGCTGTGTTTTTTCTTCATTTTTTTTCTGAATATTATATGATTAGTTTCTGGTTTTAGTTGCATTATATAGGATCAACCTAAATAATCCAGCGTTAAGAATTTTGTATCTGATCACTTTTCTAACACATCGGGTTATTGTTAGTAATTGTGTTCTGCTTCCGAGTTTGAAGAAGCAGAATATCTTGAATATTCGAAACATGTAATTCTCCACTTTTTGGGGTTTTCAGATTCGATTTTCGTTCTTTTTTCTTTATAATGTGTGATTTCTGCCAAAGGTCTGTCCAGCATGAGCAATCTGGTTAACCAAGTAATATTGAAAAAATGTTTTTAGAGGTGGGAGCTTTGATTTGACTATCAAGGGTAACTGTCTATTCCTCCATTGTTTTTAAGTGCTCATGATATTTCTAAAGTCTGTCTGGATGATTATTCTAAAAGTCATTTTCCAAGGCACATATATATAGTCTTTGAGGTGTTGCTGATGTTATCGTTTGCTTTTGCTGGATGGAGTTTTGTTTGAAAAAATTTTTCATTACTATAATTTCATGTTGCCCACCCAATATTCATTCACCACTTGCTTGCAATTCTCTCTCGTATAATACGAGCGACCAAAAAAATTAAAATCACAAACAAACTAGAAAGTCGTTTTTATTCATGAACTTATATGGACAGAACTTTTGAGAATGTAAATGCTAATATATAGGTTGGCAAGGTAGTTTCAGAATGCTTGGCAGCTGAAGAATGCTGATGGGTGGCGAGTGCGTGTTTTTTGGCTGCATTCAATCATAAAAACTATAAATTAGGTGGGAAAAACTGCCTTGCCACCCTGTTAGCATTCTTCTTAAGAGTATCTGCAGTTGTATTTGTTCAGGAATGAAGACGAGGTTTGCTTGCGTACACAATGGCACGACTTTTTTTTATTTTGGTATGTAGGCTCTGGTTGCTATGTTACGACTGATTTTATTTCGTCCCTCTGCTAAAAGTTTTAAGATTCTCTACCTAAAAGACGTTTCCATATAACTGTGCGGGTGGTCTGTCCTATTTTGGCTTTTGAGTCTCAAAAATTAAATCTCTTTTCAATGAATTATATGACACTTGTCTTTCTGCGGTCATAAAGGAATAGATTTAATTCGGTTTCTATGAAATTTGTTATAATTAAAATGTTGAATCACTGGTGGAGCAGAAATACTTTATTCCGATATATGATTGATCATCCCATCATGAACTGTATCAGAATTTCTTTCGCGGCGTAACATAGCAGTAAAATCTTCTCAAAGCACCCTAAGCGAAGTCGCCATCTTTTCCCGCTGTCTCATACTAACAGCATTTTCCATGATTTGGTCAAGTTGCCTTCAGTCTTGTTGAGACTTAAGTGACAGAGATTTGCAAGTGAGGTGGCTGGAATAGCCATGTAAACCAATGAACTTACAGTATCATGTTCAACAGGTTTACATCGATGATGTCACTGGAGAGATTATGCCGGTAAGTGGATTTCAAATATTTTCGAATTCGTGAGAGGGATGCTGTTTGTGGGGCTTTGGAGTCTGGGGAAAATTGTATTCGATTTTGGCCTGGCAAGAATTTTGACTCCTAAAAAGACAGATTTTGGTAATACTTTGTGGATTTCTTTGACCTGTTTGGGACCATTAGACAAATTTGTGCTTTTTGGATAACTGTCTGAAAATTATATTAGATTATCTACGTCTAACCATTTCAATACGGATTTCTATAAAAACCTGAGTTTTGACCATTTCTGAACATGTACACAAATCAATTTTATTTATTCGTAAAACATCTGAAATCCACCTCCAGTTTCCGACACTATTGAAAACCAAAGAACTCAATAATTGTGAGAAACAACATTTTGGTACAAGTAGTTCAGGATCTTTTTCTCTCTTAATTGCTGCAAAATTGGCGAAACTGTTAAGCATTGTGTATGTCTTGAACAAAAGTAACCCTAAAAATCTCTCAGGAGGATGTGCGATCATTTGAGATCTTGAACAAGTAATAAACTGTTAAGCATTGTGTATGTCTTGAACAAAAGTAACCCTAAAAATCTCTCAGGAGGATGTGCGATCATTTGAGATCTTGAACAAGTAATCTTATTAGTGAAATTACAGCATTTCTTAAGTGTACGTAACTTCCTGACTGTGTCCGGTTTTTAACAGCATTAAATTGTATTGGAGCTTTATGAATTTATTAAAACAGGTTTGGTTTCCTCCGACACCACCCCAAGATGACAATGATATCTATTTCGACCCTGTGTCGTGTTTATTATATCTCCCGACTCCAATGTCTGAAGATCAACTTCCAACTATTCATGTCAAGAAGGAAAGAAAGCGAACAAAACCAGAATCGGAAAGTCCAGGAGGCAAGTTCTCTCTTGATAAGGCTTCTGGTAGCCTGATATAGTTTTGTTAAACATACCATTTGCTGTTTCCAAGTGCCGATTTGACTCAGAGCTGATTGTCATTTGGGCAATAATGTGCTGCCTAAAATCTGTATGTTTATTTTTTTGGGGGGAAGGGGGGAATAATTGACTACTGGCGTGTCCAGGACACACACATTTACTGAAACTGCAATATTTCAGGAGCACCAGGCCCAAAGAAGAAAATTTTTCGATCTGAATGTCACGCACCTCGTTCCATATTTGATCGACCGTTATCACAGCTCAAAAAGAGGGAGATTAAAGCTAATAAAGATAGATTGCTACATCTAAAGAAACCATCTTCTACGGCTAACACAATACTACCACATGTAAAAGCTCTTACTGTACCTGCATTGCCCTCATTACCAGGTAGGGTATGCCATTCTAAAATAGCTTCTAGTTTATTATATTGCTGTATGTAATTGTATATGTCAGATGCAGTTTCCAACAAAATCACATTATTTGCTGATTTTTTTTATGTTATTACAGCTGTGGATTTTGTTGGTATTTCTTATGAATCAGAAGTTACGATAGATAGTTCTTTTTGTTAACAGAATTTTTTTTCTCATTCTACGCGTTCCATTTGTTTGTGTAGTGAGTTAAGAATCAATAACCTAAATTAGGATATGTGAAACAGAATAAGTGCTTTCAGTTTTATGAGAACAATAAAATGATTAGTGAGCAATTACAGGTGGTTGAGAAAATTTTATGTTGCTCATAATGTCAAATTTCAATTGACAAACACTATGTTTCATTATAAATTTCAAAGCGAAATTCATAATTGATGAATGGGAAAACAAAAAATTAGATTTTTCGAGTCTGAAAATTAGCCTAATATTGAGTAAAATGATACTGAATGTCTTCGTATCTATCAGTTGTTTTTTTATTTTGAGAGCAGATTCATTATGTTTTTGTTTGTAGCAACTAATTTTATAAACTTGTTTCAGTCACATCTTTACCTGATAAAGAAAATATCACAACACAGAAAGACCAAACAGAGACAAGTACTTCAAGCACTTCTGCTGCAGCGACAGTTACAGATTCAACCAATAAAAATCCTGAATGGCTCATTAATGAAGATTGGAAACTTTTGCAAGTAATTTATGTTATAATTTGTACATGCTAGTACCAAAGATGCTCGGATAATGTAGTAATGTAATAATAGAGTATAAGTTAAGTACCTAAATACCCAATTTGGAGCCAAATATTTACAGTTACAGTACAAATACATCCGATGAGAGGTTAATAATGATCATTCACATAACAAACTAAATTGTCCAAGGCAGGAATCTGAAATAACTAATAATTTGATTTTAGACCTGTATTGTTGAAAATGGAGGAATTCGATGGTGCCCAATTTTATTCGAATATTAGTTATATAATATAGTGTATTATTTTTTAAAATTGGCATATAGAAGGTTATATTCAAAATCTGCCCTCATGAGAGAGTATCTGAAATGGAGATTACTTTATTTTGTCCATCTTTGAATGGAACATCAATTTTTGTCACAGGCTGTTGAACAAGTGTTGGAAATGCCGTTGTCCTTAGCAGTGCTGATGCCGGCACATACTCCTAACTGGGATCTTGTTGCTGACGTAGTTAATTCTATCGCGTCCGTTTATCGATCGCCTAAAATGTGCAAACAAAGATTTGAAAATGTCATCGCTCCGAGAGAAGAAGGCATATCCGCAGCTGAAGTGTCAATGAAAAAGAAAATAAAAGGTACGTCTATTTGGTGTAGCAAAGTCCAGTTATTGGGACTTCAGTTGGTTGATTTTTAAGTGTGGCACATTTTTATGTGAATCGGAGTTTGATTTTGAATGTCTGAATGTAATGGTGATGTCAAATTCTGAATTTGTCAGAAGCTTTGAGCCTTCTGAACACGCAATTACATAAGGCTTGCATACGCCAACATTTTTAACATTGGTATAATTTTTCAGGGATTAAAACTCCAGGAAAACCGAAGATGAATAAACCACAGAGAACAACTAATGTTCACTCAACAGATAATAATCTGCAGCATACGACTCTGTATTCAAGCAGGTTCGACTCTTGCTTTGTTTTTTTATAAAGTCTTGGGGATTGGGCACTTGTTGGATGTTCTACAGACGAACGGATTAAAATTGGTTATATTCGGGGATGTCTGATACGAGCCGAAAAACGAACATATTCAAAATCGTTGGTTTTCGATTTAGTTAAATCATGATATCAAAAATGATTTGAAATAGTTTTATTTGATAAGTTGTTAATATAAGCATTCGATATATGATTGTCAAATATAAAATATTTATATAAGCTTCGTTTAACTTCTGACACTGTCAAAAAAACTGTAAAAAAAACAACCGAAATAATGTTTAGCTGAACTATTAGGCAGTTACCAAATTAAGTTTCTATCAATCTGCAATAATTTGTGCAAATTCATCTGTTGAATATGACCCCATTTTGAGATATATTTAATTTTTTACATTTGAAAATATAATTCTAAAATGTCTTCAAAAAAGTATATTCTTTGATTTTGCCATTCCTGCTAATATTCAATGTTTTAAATTCTTGATTTCAGTTTAGAATAGTTTAATTTGACCTTCAATTGTCAAAGCTTTAATTACCGGAAACTGTAAAAAATAGGAAATTTATCAAATTATTGTTTATCCCAACTTTTCTGTATTTACAAACTCAATAAATCTATATTGACGTTATGGCTCTTTGTTGAACAAATCCAGACTAAATTATAATCGATATTCCATGTTCAAAAATATTATTTTGAAATGAGAATATTCTGTGTTTAAATATAAACCATTAGCAATTACCGTAGTTTTTCGTTTTCTGATTCATTTATCATTTTTTAAACCAGAAACATCTTTTTTATGTTTCCACCAGGTTTGATGTTATCAAAGAAACCTGTGGCAAGCGAACAATGCCAATGAAATCAGCAGGATCAGGACAATTTCAACGAAACCCAAAACATACTTCAATATTAATGGATAATGGCATCACATATGACAAACCACTGCCTCCTATTAAGGTAATTTGCATCATTAGCAATTTGAATTTTATATCTGCATTCATTTATGCCATAGTTTTGAATTCATCAGCAGCAGTAGAGTGATTTATATATTTCAGCACTTTTGCTCTTCAAAAACTTTTGGCTTTTTTTTTCCATCGGCCGATGATGACAGATTTCATTCTCAATTTTTCATGTGGATTCTTGACACTTGAATCCTGAGGTCGAATCTAATTCAGAACCATTTTCTGTGTTTGTTGATGTAAATTTCTCAATTGAAAATTTCTCACTAATTAGGTGGCGACACTTAGAGCAGACAGAATTGCAAGGGAAAAGCAGGCTCTGGAAGTGGCGAAGCAACAACAACAATTACAGTCGCAAGCAATACAACAACACACAGCCAATATGTCACAAATCAGTACAAGTCAGGTTTCAAAATCAGCAGGTAATTTTTTACAATATATTTTGCCCTACAAGATCTTTTACCCATTTGAAATCAAATATTAAAATGGCCATATTGCACCCAAAAATATCCACATTTGAATAATTGGTTATTCAAATTATCTTTCATGCAGCTAATTTTGCTTTCAAATATTCCCAATCGATGCATTGAGAGCAAAATTGAGAAGAACACCAAATGATATGATGTCGCAATAGTAGAGTTTTATTGAAAAATAAAAGTACCTATTTGAATTTTTTCATTAGCCATAATTTTGAATTTTGTTCCAACTATTTCTTTTCATATTAAGTTCTTATGCAGTAGCTCACAACTCTTCCTTTGCACTTTTAGTTGAGCTGTAAGCTCAGGACCACGCTTTGAGTGAATTTATATCGAAAATCATTTTTATTAAATGTTTTTGATGAAACGTTGGGGTCTTCCATATACGACTCCATTTTCAGGATATAATGATGATTTTGTGTATTCGTTATGTTAAGCCTGACAAATCCTTATCATGTATCGTTATGTCCTAATGAAAACTCTCTATTTGCAGGCATGACTACATTGGGTGTAAGTCAGTTAACAGCAATCCCGTTATCAGGAGGTGCCAGCAACATTATTGTCAACTCCAGTACTCTTTCGGCACTAACTAAAAAGATGAATCAACAATCTGCAATGTCACAGTTTTCTGCTGCAAGTGCAAAAACAGCCAAGGTAAGCAGTATTTATTTGATTCTTAATAAAAACATTATTTGTTAAGGAAAAGTCACTATGAAGATGAGAATAACCAGAGAAGGCCACACTTTTCAGTACGCGCAAGATTATAATTGTAAATCTTTTGCGATTTTTTTCTCAAAATACTCCCCCCCATGTTCCAAAACTTCAAATATACAATTACAAGTCAATTTAACAATGTCAATGCTGAAATTTTGTATGTTTGGGTTTTATTAGGGATGGCCAAAATCGAATAAATTCTGATCCAATATTTCGCCATAGCTACTCGACATTTCAGTGGCTCCAGCTCCTAACCATCCTCTTGAGCTCATGATTTATTATTAATTTTAATATTCAAACTTGAATTTATATACTTAATGAAACTTCAAATGTCAGAATTTGAAACCTCTGTGTCATAGTTTTGAGTTGAGCTTCTAGAAACTGCATTTAGGGGCAGATATTTCATAATTCGGTCACAAAAATCTATGGGTATGGGACCAAAGCCACTGCTATATTAAATGAATTCTACAGCCCTGCTGTCAACTAAGTTTTGCTAAACCAATGATGACAATTATTGATTTTTTAAGAAAGGTGGAACACCCGTTTGAACATCAGGCATTGCTTGATGTTCTGACTGTATTGAGTAATTGTATACCATTTGAATTATAAATAAAAAGATTGAATGAAAACTGAAAAAATGCTGTTTTTATGTAGACCACATTGATAAATACGGCTTTGCATCAAACTTTGCTGCGAACTGCTGCAGGAAACGAACCAACACAAAATTTACAGCAACAACAACAGATACAGATTCAACAACAAAATCAAGGTAGTTTGTGTTCCGTTATAATGTTACTAATCATATTACGCAATTTTGCACATGGTGTCTGAAATAGTATAAAAATTGGGTTCAGTATGTATATTAAGAATGGTTCTATTTGTGGAAACTGTAAAATCATCGATTAGAAGATTTCGAATATGTCAGTTTATGAAGGTGGAGGTATCTAAATGAACATTGTGTTTGGTGTCCTTCTAATTTTGATATCAATTTTTCACTTTCATTCTTAGCCATAGACTCTTCGCATGTTTAGTAGAGTAAGTTATTTTTATCATATTAATTTCAGTTGGAACAATGGTGACAGTAGGATTGTTGCATCGATTATCAAACCAGTCGACTGTGACTTCAGTCGCAAGCTGTGCGTCAGGAAATACAATCACATTATCTTCATTGACTAGACCGTCTATATCTGTGCCAGGGGGTGGTAAGTACTCGGTTCTGTGTGTTGAAATGAATTTATTTGAAAAAAAAATTGGAAGTATTGTTGTTTATAATGCTGCTGCTAAATTATTAAAATTGTCAAAAATTTTCTGTTGAGTTTACTTTTGCATAGTGAAATCTTACTTATTTCGCTCAGAAAAACTCAACTCTATTTTAAAATTCACCCATTTGCAAGATTCAAAATTAAACCTAATTGCCATTTACCTGATATAATTTCAAAATACCAAATTATCGTATAATTGACATCTCTAGTTATCGGAAATTTTATTGGGAATGAGGTTTTTGTGAATACATAGCCTATAAATTGTTCTTGCAAAATGTCCAAAACATATGATTTTTAAAGAACTTCAAATTTAGTTTCAGCTATCACTCGAGTATTAATTTTCATGTCGTAAAATGCATCCTTCTGTTCAGTTCCATCGTATCATTCTCTGCGTATAGGCAAGCTGTAATTTCAGTGTTGACATTAGTCGTTCATCATACCAGTCAATCCATCTATATATATATATATTCATCTATTCTTGTCATTGTATTATTGCAGCCGTCATACAACAAGGATCTCAACTCACGAAGCAACTCACAAAACAACAGAAGCAGAGATTACAACGATTACAAGAACAAATGGAACGATTGCAACATCATAAACAACAGCAACAAAAGAAACAAAATGTTAAAACTCAGATCACCCCTCAAAAGTTCCAGGTAATGCCGAAGCATTGTTAGTTTGCCGACAACACAAGAGCATGGTGTTCTGAAATTCTTGCTTGTACAATATACTGTGTTTCCTCGAAAATGAGACCTAGCCTGATTTTGGAAATTATTTTAATATGAGCCGTCCCGTTAAAATAAGACCTAGTCGATGGCGCAAAATTTTTGAAATTCTTAAAATTTAGTGACTTGCAAGACATTCCAGAGGATAATGATATGGCATTTTTGAATAATCTATGTTTAGCAGTTTTTTAAATAATAAAAACATTTGGGATATCGGTTTTCTATTTTGTATATTTAAGAATCTCACAGTTCTATACTTTGTAATTTTGTTTTGATAAATGAAAATAAAATACGTTACCCAAAAATAAGCCCTAGTGTTATTTTTCGGAAGAAAATTAAAATAGGTCACTGACTTATTTTCGGGGAAACACGGTAGACTCTAAATCTAATATATCATCTTTCGGGATGTATTTCAAATTTTTTGAACTGGTCAACCTCCAAGATTGTAAGTAAACATTATACTTAAATTTACTGAATTTTGGATTTTGTTCAAGTTAAATTGGCCGTATATTGCTATTCTACACTTCTGGTGGTTTGGTGCTGTTCCCCATGACACACAGTAGTGTGGATGCCGTGCGATTCAAGTTTTATTGAATTGTGGAGATTTTGAGTAATAGCAAATTCATGGAATTGGCCTGTTGGTAGTAATTTGTTTTCAATGCTTTGCAGCTCACTCCAGAAGCTATGAAGAAATTTCGACAACAGCAACAACAATTGGAAAGTGGAAGCGTGATTACTGTGAGTCCTTGTCAAATTTTTTTATTTGTCTGTTAAAAATGGCGTAGACCATCTCCCATAAGGTGAAATTTTTTTTGCATTTTAAAGAAAAATCAGGCAGAGATGAGGAAGAAGCATTGATCTTTTGCCTTTATACCTTAGGCCTACATGTTTACAATTTTTAAAGGGCATGAAGTATACTAATTGCTAAATTTGCCGCTCATTGCTAGAATGTGAGAGATAATATTATTTCTTCCGTGACTGAAATGATTTTAACAGCCCTTATTGCTCTTGTGTTATCTTTAGGTTGCGGGTAAACAGCGCAAGACAACTCCAATCACGCAAAAAGAGCTCGAATTACTGATGAAAAACCCAGGAATGAGGAGGCAAATGCAACAACAGAAACAACAAACTGCTCAGGTGCAGATTGCACCTGTCCATGCCCAAGTACAAGCTCAACAAGTGCAAGAAGCCGCAGCACAACAAGCTGCACAACACATTGTTACTTCGAAGCCGTTACCAATAACTGTACCAGTGTCTAGTCTTGTTTCAGGTGAGAAAGGGCCGATTTCTTCAGTATTGTACTTTTTTATGTTTTTACGCTTCAAATAATTTTAAAATAGCTAAAAAATAAATGAAATCTTTCTAATGTGACATTCCCAACACAATTTAGTTTTGTATCTAGATCAGAATAGATAACTTGAAAGTTTTAGACACCCGAAGAATATTCTTCGTCTTTTCATTGGTTCGTAACACAATGAACTTCTTTTATTCAGTTGCTGCAGTTAATCTGGGAGGAATGAACATGTCTATTGCTAGCACAAGTACCAGTGGTCAAGCTAAACCACTTATTGTTACTGGACAACAGGTATTTGATTCGGTCTAAATTATCCATCAATAAAAAAATCAGAAATTGTCAGACTTGGTCAAGAGAAATAAATTGTCAGATGAAATGGTGATTTTGAATATCAAAATAACATTAACTCACAGATTACCTCTTTCCTGTAAGCAATCGAATCGATCGGTATTCATAATTCGAATCATACATAGTCTAGTTTGTTTTTCCAGTCACTTTCAGTTTCTTTGAAACAAAAATTCACAGCATTTTTAATCGATTTTTTCCTTTTTTTCATTTGTCAGGTTCCAGTCAATATTCAGCAACAGATAACATTACAACGTCAATACATGAAACAGAATCTACTCACTCAACAACAATCTCAGTCACAGCAACAAGCAGTCAGGCAGGGTCAGGTATGAAAAAATTGTTTTTGCGAAATCTGGTCTTCTGGGTCTGAGATATCTGGTTTAAATGTTGGCTCGATATTTGTTTTAGTTATTACAGAATCATTTGTCTCTTTATGTTGATAAAAAGATGTTAAATCATTTTGACGGCTGTTTATTTGATTAGCTTTATGATGAAATAACTATGCCATTTGCGTTTGAGAGACTTCAGTATGATTAATTCTGCTTAACTATTATCTGTTTTGGATTAATAATTATGGGAAATTTGATTCTTTCATGCTTCATTGTTTTCCAGGTTTTGGCTTCGAAAGTTGGTGTCAAACAAACGGTGTATGCAATGGTACCTGCACCTCCGTTAGTGACTCAAAAACAAAGAAGAGTGGTAAGTTTTGTCTTTGTTACTTGTAAACCAAGTCAGCTCTAAATAAAATTATTAAACATCTCTTCATTAAGAATGTAGCTGTGTCATCTGCTGGGGCAACCATGATTGGACAACAGCAAGGTGGAACGCAGCAACCTGTTCAATTGACCGTCACAAAACTACTTCAGTCACAGGCGATGCCTGGTCAATCGACTTCTCAGGTCAAACAACAATTGGTCAAGCAAGTGAGTTCGTAGGCATGAATCTGAATTTGTTTCGACCAACGACAGCGACTGGTTATTTGTCAGTTGACCACTCGTTCGCTTTGGTTCGAAGAGAAAAAGAGTAATTTTATTAAATGTGCATGTGAAGTAACATTTTCACATGTTTCGTGAATTACTGACATTTTTAAAACTATTTTTGTGGGTATTATGATTGATAGACAATCTGATTTATGAGTATAAGCACATCAAGTTTGCACTAAAGATATAATATTGTAGGTTCTGGTCCGTATTTACCACAGTAAGTCCATGCCTGGTATGTGAAGCAGTACTGTGAACACCTTTCCAGTCGATGTTTGCAGTGGATTGCAAAACCACATTGAGAATCTTACCAAGCTATTGAAATAAGTGACTTATTTTGTTATGCATCTCCCATTCTGTTTTTGTAGGGTGCTGACGGCAGCAGGTTCGAGGTTCAGCAGGTACGACAATCACAATTAGTTTCACAGCAGCAGCAGATTGCAACTGCAACCATTGTTCCATCATCACATGTAGGACAACCTCAACGTTTGATTTCGTCACAAAGAAATGCAAGTCTTTTTTTGTCTTATTTTTCCATTCTGGGCCCCGTGTTACAAAAATACATTTTCTTTCAGTTAAGACAAATTCAACAACTGGCTTCGAATCAGCAACAGACGCAGATGATTTTAACACCAGCATCATCTGTTGTTTCCAATTCTCAACAATTCATTCAGAGACAAAATCCAAATGTTGTTGCATCAATATCGATTGCTGCTCCAAGCAGTTCACAATCTGCCTCACAACAACAAATGACGCTAGCTTCACCAACGGTCCAGTCAGCAAGTTTATCTCAACAGCTACAAAGTCTATTGACACCACAAGTATTGAGAGCACAATCATCACAAGCTGTGGTTTCAGTGCATCAGTCGATGAGGGTGTCTCAACCTCAACATTTGGTTCTCTCTCAGGTTACACCACAACAACAACTATCTGTTAGCCCCCAAACTCCTGGAATGACAATAACATCACCTACCACCCCAACAACAATGACCCTGGCGCCATCGTTGGTTCAACTTCCAGCATCCGCCGTAACCTCTGTTTCCGTATCACAGTCCATGTTGAACGTTCCTACTACAACGCGGCAACAGCCGGAAACAAGTGCAAGTGTTCAATACATTACAAGATCTGCTCCTCAACAGTGAGAGTTGTCTGACACCGATCTTTCCGATAAATATGTATGTTGGAAAGTGATTAGACTGTGGTGGATTTTGACCAATTTGAGGAATTATTTTGGTTTTTGGATACTTGTATTCTGAATAAACTTTTCCCAATTTTAGTTCGTTTTTTCTTTTATTGATTGTCTTTTTTACTTTCATGTGAAATCTACCATTCAAGGAAATAGAATTATTCTGTTATATATCAGTGATATCATCCCAATACCTGTTGGCTTTTGTGTTTTTCATAATATAGATGGATTTGACTAATTATGAACTATCGTTTATCTTATATGCGGCCTAATGAATATTATTGATTTTGCTTAATTTTGTAGTACTCACTGATCATGGCCTTCTTTGAAATAAATATATATCATCTGTTAAATTCTTTTGATTAGTTGTTTGTATTTTTGCAATCCACATTAGGCTTGCACATAATCCACGAAAATCAATTCCATATTTATGGCAAAATCGCTTACGTAATTGGCCCCGTAAACAAAAGTTTTATTGAGGCATGCGACAGTTTAAAAAACGCTTTTTTAAGCATTGAAAATCGCAAAATTTCGTGCGCTTCCGGCACACATTATGTTTGGTCGGCGTTACAAAACATATCGTCACTAAAATCGGAGCACTGTCAATTGATGAAAATTTTCGTTTTAACATTATACAAGGTTTGAAACTGGACAATTTTCTCTGGGTTGTGATGATATATAAGAAATTCAATCAATTTTTATTATGCTTAAATAAATTTTACAGCAGATTTATGAATTTTTTGAACGGTTTTATCTTAAAAATAATCGGAGAGGCAGCATTGCGATGTTACAAGAACCTCAAAAATTTGTCGAATTCGCAAAAATAGGGATCAAAGCTTTATATAATGGGGCAGTTTACCACACAATTTTATGTCCGCAGGTGCCCGTGGTATTTCAAAATTGGGAAGATTGTATTTATTCGACGCAACCGCTGGTTAAATTGAAGACAATTAAATTAATAAAGCAAGACATTTAAATATGTCCTTATCGGTCACGAATTGATTACTTGGCACAACGGAAAAATCATTATTCGTTGTAAAAGTCTGGCTCTTTCAAACAAGTGGCGTAATCGCGGCGTTTAATATGTATTTTTGATAATGATATACTTTATATGTATTTTTATTGTACGAAATAAAATTGTACTCTACGGGATTTTATATCAGTTATTGAGATTTTTTTAACGGCGATAACGAGTTCGCAAGATTCCAAAAATACATCAGGCAGTTCATCTCATATTTTCATGTCCACAGATCGTCGTGGCTTTCAGAGAAGTAATGTTTTAAATTTGACGTGAGAAGGAGCAACCGCGAGTTACGTTGGACATAATTAAATTAATATATAGAGACATTTTAGAATCTCGTAGTTGCCATGGATTGAATATTTTACGCGACAGAAAAATCATACGCTGAAAAAACGTCTCTTTAACGAGCGCGTAATCGCAATGTTTGTAACAGACGGCAATGAAAATTTCCGATTTTAAAACCCTCCTTTTTGAAACATCGATATTATTCAGGTAAACTCTTAATTTCCACCATTTCCCCCTTCTCGCAAATATCTAACTGCACATCTCGTGCCACGAGGACACCATAATTAGTATTTTCTCGTCCGTTGGCCAAAACTCGTTTTTATGCGATCGTCGAAGTCCGAGGATAATCAAATGAGAGTCTGCAACTTCAAATTTCTGGCTGAAAATAAAGGGAGTGAATACTATGACTGAAAAACGGATTTATAAAATACCGCAAATAATAAAAAAACATAACATTAGTTTTGTTTTAGAAGTCGCACTGGCTATCTTGGACACCGTAGATTGGTAAAATTTCGTGTTCCTGCGGATGACTTTATTAGCTTGAAACTATGCCATAGAAACTGAAGTTTTTAAATTGCCATCTCTCGAACACTCGGCATTCCATGCATCAAAATTAAATGCAATCGGGTAGTTAACCTGCATATCCGCGGATTGTCTTAATCTGTGAAATATACCGAACTCCAACTCAACAGCTCTGCTCGGAACACCACCGTCAGTCAGCTGATATACCAAAGCGTATATATACAGTGTGAATAAGATTCTACTGATCTGTGATGTAAGAGATCGATGACTGGATGGTGACTGCTTCCCATTTATTTTACGGACAGAAAGTCTGGTACAGTACACTCTGGATGACTGGGTTGAGCAAATACTTAGCTTTGCCGCAATTAGTTCGTCAGATACAGAAAGCGTATAGTCTACTACATACAAACATAGTACTGATATTCGAATATTACTGTCTGACTGCTTGGACTGTAGGCTATTAGGTTCAATCTGTCAATAGGTTGAGTATCTTTTTTTGTTTTATTTCTGGCCTAAGCTTCGGGTTTGTATTATGAAGTTTTCAAAATAAACTATCAGTGAATGTTAGAACCTTTCTGAACAGTTAATAAGGTGCCTTGGATCATTTGTATGTATTCCTGTATTCAGAAATGATATCAGCAGTTCAAAAATAAATTACGATTGGATTAATCACATAGCATGGCGTTTTTATCAAATACATATCGAAAAGCTTAGTGATCTTCAACGATTTTTTAATATTTGAAGAAATTTTGTTCAGGTTCTTCGGTACCGTATCCTAAATTAAACCCTTGCTGAAAGAACTGACAAAAGGCGATAAAATGGCTTAACTATATGGCGAACAACAGCCTCTTGTCAATTTCCATTTTATACCGGTATGGGATTAGTCAGGTATTTGTTTTTGGAAACATGGACTTGATGACGTTAGAAGCCATAACCGACCAGCGGTTATGTGAACCACCTTACAGCGGCGAGGAGTCCAGCAATCCTCTCGCAGATAACCATCTCTGCATGGGATGCGAACCTGCGAACCCACGCAGAGTAATCAGTGGTGTGGTGGTGAGCGCACTCCTAACGCTTAGCAGTAGCACGATGAGCCACACCGCCGATATTGTATTTGGTTTATTTACTACTGTACTAATTATCTTTATTTCAATGCCTATCACAGTTACTTTGTAGTATATTTTAGACATTGATATTTTGGTTGTTTTCCTTATTAACATTAAAAATGGGTTCCAAAGTTTCGTTGGATCTTCAAGATGAAGAGATAGAGAGTATCCAAAAAGAGACCGGATGTGAGTAATTGTATCATCAGAACTAGTGTTGATTGCTTATTTTTGAAAAACAACACTCTACCCTGGATTGTACTCAAAACTTTTCCCACTACTGCACTATGCCTAAAAGAATGCAAAATTTGAAAACAGCTTATTGTGAGGGTATAATATAGCTGAATACAACACCCTCGACTCAAATGTCATACTGATGTGTCAGCTTCCACTAATTTGAATCAGACCTGATGAAATGGCCCTGTTTCGAGCACTTCTTTCACAGTAGTATCAACAGTCCTATTTTTATGCATAAGACCTAATTGCAGTACATTAAGATTACTTATCGGTATGTAATATCTAGACATGCTTTCCCAAAATTATGTAGCTTATGATTAGCAATGGTCAATAGTGGTGATGGGCAATGTAGAACAAAATTTATTATTCTAGAATACTCAAACCAAATCCAGACTAGGAATTCTATTCTATTTTCATAGTTATTTAAATAGAGGGAATTCTACCGCCACATTGCTGGATGAAAATATTAAAAAGGCAAAATTGTAAATGTATTACTGGCTTTGTATTAGGATAATTGAAAATGTCCCGAGAATTGAAGCTTATTTGATACCAAACAGGCATTCTCAGGACAATGAAATATGGGGAATTTTCACAATTGCCTTGAATTATTCGAAATATACATAATTCCTAAATACTGATATTCTGAATTAAGATTCCCCTTACGGATTCTTTGCAAGCAAATACAAGCGTAATTAAACAAGAGAGATTTTGATGAAAGCTGAATAAAATAAAAACCCAAAATAGAAAAATTGACAAGTGGCAACGAAGAGGCAGAAACCGAATCCTGTTATTGTATTCTCTTAGATTGAAATCTTTTGTGTTCGATATTCTGCATTGTCCATCCCTAGCCATTAGAGCCAAGAGCATATGCAGTAAGGTAGTACTGGCTACAATACTAATAAATACTTTATATGTGTTTTCAGTTTCCCCAAATCAAATTATTCGTCTCTTTACAAGATTCACAAGTTTGGATAAAGAAGAAAATGGATTTTTATCGTAACTACATTTTTATAGATATAAAAGCCCATATTGTATTGTATAAATCTATATTGTATTTAGACCAGGGTTTCTCATACTGGGGTCCGTGACGACTATACAGGCGGTCCGCAACGTTATTAAGAGTCTGATTTTAACGAATGTTCGCTGTTACCATAGGCATTCGTAAACGAGTTGAGAGACTTTTGCGACTTTGCCAAAGTCATTTGAGCCCTGTTGCTGCAAGAAAGCTGCATGAAACCCAGTTTTTTGTGTGAGACTATCAAAGTATACACAATCAAATTAGTTGGTGTCGCTGCTTGATAACCAGTCTTGGTGTCTAGCGCCTGCCTTCACCCTGGCCTGAAGTACCATTTTACTTAATTTTTTTGTATTGTTTATTCACAATGTGTATGATGGAAAATATAAATTACTGATTAAATTAGTTCCACATGTTCACTTAGTACAGACAGTAGAGTGGGGCCTACGAGTTTTCTTGTCACAAACTGATTCGTCACATTAATAACGTTTTTGTTGTTGTGTTCTAAATCCAGATGAAACATTATCCTTCCTCGTTGGTTAGACGCATGAATTGATACGGCCTCAAGGATATAGCTAGTCATTATATCTTATATGATATCGTTAAAATTTGTTACTTTAGTTTCCTTTGTCGATTAAGTTTCAATTTAAAAGTTTTTTATTTGTTTACACTTTTTTCTGATTTATATATTTATTCAGGAGAGATTCATTCTTGAGGATTCCAGAACTTGCAATAAATCCTCTTGCAGACAGAATTGTGGAATCATTTTTTGAAAAAGGGTAAAATCTTTTTAAACTGAATAGAAAAAATATTTAATGTATTTAGTACACACACTTCTGGAGCGCCAAATCTTTACATATGTAAACAACTTGTTATGTCAACAACACTGATATTGCTAGGATTCCAGACCGTGTTTTACTAAGCACATTTCCATTGGTTTTCACAGTTTAATCTAGTTTGTGTGGTGTGGTGTATTTAATACCACCTTAAATACCAAGTTAAATGATCTTGCTTGTTCTGTGGTTCTCGTTTTCACTCATTAGTTTATTGCAAAATCCTGCTCTTAACAAGGTAATAAAATACTAATATGCCCTACTAATGTTTTTGAAGATTTATTTACATCAAGGATGAGGGGCATAAGTTCGAATCTCAAGTCGTTAACCTGCATCCAACATTCTAACCATTAAGTCATTGTATAAATAATAAGTTTTCTTTTTTTTCAGTCATGATCATGTCAACTTCAGGCAGTTCATGAGGACATTGGCTGTGTTTCGTCCTTTAACTAATAAAACACTCGAAACAGCAGTTAATAGCCGAAATAAGAAGCTAGAATGTAAGGAAAATTCTGATTGTATTTTGTCTTTATTTCTATTTAAATCAATTCTTGTACTATTTTACTTCTAACTGCTTATTGTCTAGTAAAGATATATCACAATTAATTATAACAAGTCACATAAATGAGAATATATTATGATGAGCAATCTCAATCAAATGAAGGAGTAGGCCTGTTACAATGAAATTCTTTATTAAACTAATTTAGTCTGGCCCATTTGCTGATTTATGTAGAGTAATTGAATTTTATAGATCTTACTTTGTTGTCACTTTTTCACACTCCTGCCTACATGTATAGTGTGGATTACAGACGAATTGATAAGTTTATTTTATTTTTTCAGTTGTTTTTTCATTGTATGATTCTGACAATGATGGAAAGATTTCTAAGAAAGATTTATTGGATGTGAGTTATGGAGTTGATTTTTTGTGCTTGTCATATACTTATTGTCCAACACAGTGGTTCCCAATCTTTTATAGCTCGTGGCCGTCTTTCGGAGGCTTTTAGCGCTCATGCCCTCCCTGTTCATCATTCCAGTGGTATTTATAGTGTTATTTTGAATGGTAGATTTCAAATCCCATTATGTGCAAACGATTCATGCTCAACAAAGTGAAAACACCTTGACTGGGAATTCCGTGACTGGGAATAATGGGGATTTTTATTATATGAGAAAATGTAAAATCAGTTTTTATGCTGGCATGTGGCCCCTTCCAACTGCTTTGAGGTCCCCTTGGTGGGCTACAGGCCCACTGTTGAAAACCCCTGAAACGTATGTTTGGTATTCTACTGTTGTTACATTTCTCCATCAAATATGGCTAGTTTTCAATGTTGTCTTGGATCGTGAGGTTTAAATAAAGATTATTTGCTAGCAATTTGGAAGCATAAGATTGGAATTACTTTCCTATTACAACAAAATGCCAGACTAAAAACTTTCATTTTATTCGTTGCCTAACAATACCAATGAGTGATTTTTCTTTAATTTGAGATTATATTTTTATTGAAATATTGCATAAATCATTCAACTGTCATAGCTTCCCTACATCGCCACTTCAAAAGTTGAATTTAAAAAACGGCAATGCAAAGAAAATTAATATGATCGTATATTGATATATAGTTTGATCATACTCGTAAATGAATAAATCTTTTTGACACCTTGAACTAAACTGAACTTCATATATGATTTGATTGCTGTGTTATCAATCTTACATGAAGGGTATTTATTGATCAGTTTTACTGGGGAACATAATCAATAATTTTCCCTGTGATATTCTTCATTAATTTTGATGAGTCACCATTATTTTGCTAATAGTCAGAATTGTGTTTTTATCATATGATGTTCTAATAATAAATGAACAATACTCATAAAGGGAAATTGCATAGTATAAAGCCATAATAGTCACTGCGACAACTTTATTTCATTTATGTCAGTTCCTAAATATGGCTTTTGAATTTGCAGTGACATTTATCATGAGTTATGTCAGCATCACATCTTCGCTTTGAACAAACTTGAAATTCAATCCCTTTTTATACTAAGAATCATTTGTGCTTTTTGAACTACCCAAATGTACTTGGTTTGGCATTTTCTCACCCAATTCATTACACATTCAAGATGGTAGGGGTTAGAACCCTCTATGTACGACACCCCTTGTAGTTGTACTGGATATTTTTCATTTTCTGTCGCAGCATGTTTCACTAATCTATGCCTATATTATTAGATTTTAAGTTTGATGGTTGGAGCTAATATAAGTCCAGATCAACTTTCCTATATCGCCGAACGAACTATTTTAGAAAGTGATAAAGATAATGATAGAAGCATCAGCCGTGAAGAATTTTTAAGGGTGAGATTATTTTGTATTTTTTTTTCAACACTTGTTTATCAGTTACAATATTGTTAATCTCGTGATCAACCACTACTACCATAAGTAATTTAATGTTTTTTTTTATAAAGTTTTGTCATATATTACCAAGAACAAAGTGGTTCAACCAATTATTGGTATTTGTTTTTAAAAACATTTTTAAAATCCTATCTGACTTTTGTTATTTCATAACTTTAATTTATAACTTGACTAGTCTAACATGTAAACATACATAAAAAAGTAGATTTTCTTTCCTTTTCAATTGAAAGATAACCTGTGTTAATCATCATTAGTATTACCTTTGATAACCTATTTGTGACAATGTAGCAAGTTTTCATGGTCCAAGCATATAAAGTTTATAAAGCCTTTAGTTTCGATAGCTGTAAAAACGTGCCATTCCAGTTATAATGTTAGTGAATTTAAATCCGAACTTGAATGTTACTTTTCCAGGCAATGGATGCAGCAAACTGCAATACAAAAATGAGCGTGCGCTTTCTGGATTAATCACCACATTTTAAGCATACATCAGTTTGATTTATTATGAAAAGTTATGTCTGTCTTGTACTGTGAATTTTGTAGATGATTTTGTATGTATGAAGGGTTACTCAACTACAGTTATTCAAAATCATAGTAGATTCCTATGAATCATTGGATGATTGTCCAGTGCCCGGACCTCCAGAAGTATCTGCACCAAAATGGCACACATCCTGAACATAGTATGTGTACCAGGTTAGGGTTCAGGTTGTGCCCCATCTTGGGTGCACATACTTTGGGAGCGCCCAGTGCCCTGTTTGGGGCTGAAAAGTGAAATACTTTTATAAAAAAGAAATTTTATTAATCTGTATCTACTATTCTAATCTAAATGTGTAGAGTGTAAAAATAACATAAATTACTGTGGCTTTGATTTAAAGGTTGTTCATATGAAACAAATTCTAACATCCCTACACTGGTCTAAATTCTGAGTTTGACGAAAATATGGAGGCAATGAAAAAAAAACAGATGTACTACATCCATTGTTTTTTTTTCGTGCTCCTTACTTGGCAATCTCAGTATTACTCATTGTCAGGTGAATGAAACGGACCAGTCATTTTAGTCCACATACAGTGTGTTGTAACTGCTAGGTCTAGCCCTCAAAAGGGCAATTGCGTATTTCACATGCTCTGTCTCGTCCATGTCATTTTTTTTTCAATGTATCGCACATTTTGTCTGTATTCATTCATACAGATTGAAGTGCAAAATTTATTTTCAGTCACATATTAACAGACGAATAAAATAATACAATAAATTTTTACTTCTTTTCATCGGGACCACGGGACATTCTCATCTTCCTGTAACAAACATATTTTTCAACTTATTGTCGACCAATATATGTGTATGAGATTTTTAATTGTAGTATCTTGCATTTATTACTATTTGTAAGTTGAGTTGTAAGTATTCACTTGAGACAATTTTTACCCAAATATATTACTAATTTTTTCCTAGTCTTCAAGTACATGTGCTGCAATCCCTGTATAATTAATTGCCTCTTCTTGGCTCGATTCAGCAAGGGGAGATATGTTAAGTATCACTAAATAAAATGGGTTTCATGTTTTATTTTTGAAATGGTATTTTGCTAGAATATGTTGAAAAGACGAATTTAATTTTTTCCTTTTTGAAGTAATTGATTGAATGAAAGTATCCAAAAATACGGTAGTATACCGGTTAAAGTTAAACCTTAAACTTCTTGAAAGCTCACATCAGAGACGCTCACTGATATGCATATTTTGCCAGCTTCTTTCGTTTATGGCGGTTGATTAACTTTTTTCATCTTATATATATGTGTACTTTCACGGTTTATTCCTCTGTCCCGGTCTAAATATGGAAATCCTATTTATTGGTGTCAATAAAATCTATCCATATAATTTATGCATTCAAGTAATTTTGCCGAGCCGTGTTCAATACGGTTGTTTTTCTTGTCTGTTCCTTTACCACCTTAAAGCGAAGTAGGCGATCAAACAACTTGAGCAATGAATTTAAATTTATCTTATTAGTTCTGGAGCGGTGATATCTGCATACTCATCCGAGTTCAAATGGAGTGCTGTGAAGCGTCATTTATTTTGCTTTGACACATAGTGTTAAGAATGTTTGCTCAAATGATGGCTTTTTTGTAATATCCTTCAATATACCAATTCGTAGCTTGCGCTGGTACTCAACTTGGTGATGGACGGTTCATTAAGCTTTGTCGGATAAACAGGGTGCTAACTTTTCTGCTGCCCGGGTCGAGTTTCCAATAATGATGCCCCTATCCCTAACTTCAAAAATAATTCTGGAGATAAACAGATTATAGATGCCGTTATACATGAGAATAAATGAATCAAAGGTAAAGTAAAATAGAAACGTTTGTTTTATTAAATAAATATTCAAACTTAACAACAAACTCACATGTATAAGATCGGACTCATTTATTAACAAAAAGCAAGTGACTTATTTCTATGTCCAATCGCTACTTTGCTGCGACAAATGTCTGAACGACAGCCTCTTTCACCTCGCTCGTCAAGAATTTCTTTTCGATGCTAATCAAAGTTAAACTTGCGCTAATTTGAAATCGACGACCTCAAGTATATATATTTTTATATATTTACTTTGAGAAAGATCGTTCGCAACTAGCAATTGAGTAGCCGATTATGAGTAATAAACAATATGCAATAACAAACTCAACCATTGAAGCAAAAATATCTTTAGCATATCTGTTTCCACTTCGGAAAAGCGACGTAACAGTAGACGTTTTAACAGTCGTACAGACAGATTCTCTGGCATGGTTGTAGACATTTCCTCGTTTGTTAGTTTTTGGATGTGTTTTGGAAATTCCACGTACATTTGCACCCGTAAACCGCTTCTAGTATGCGCATGCATACTTTTGCACCCACCGACATTTGCATCCATACATTTTCACCTATAGATTTTACCACCCGCCTATAGATTTCACCCGCGGACATTAGCACCCATGTACATTTTGCCCCCACGTACACAACAGAACTTCTTTTACTTCAAAGACTGCAGGTATCCATATATGTGTAAATGTTTACGGGTACAAAATTCCACGGGTGGAAGTGTCCATAGATGCGAATACCCGTGGGTTCAAATGTTCATGAGTGCGAAGGTACGCGGGTTTATTTGTACGTTGGTGCAAATGTACGCGGGTGTAAAAGTACGTGTGTGCAAATGTCCGTGTGTGCAAAAGTACATAGGTGAAAATGTCCGTGGGTGCAAAAGTACATTATAGGTGAAAATGTCAATGGGTGCAAAAGTACATAGGTGCAAATGTCCGTGGGTGCAAAAGTACATAGGTGAAAATGTCAGTGGGTGCAAAAGTACATAGGTGAAAATGTCCGTGGGTGCAAAAGTACCCAATGATTATACTGTCTTCTCACATAGTTTAATTGCAGCAATCAAAAATTAGTCCTAAATAGCTGTGATAGACAAGGCTAAACTTTTCTATCGGTACTTTTAAATAACAGGGTTGAATATTTCGAATTAAAATGATTGTTTGAAACATATAAACCGGTTTCAGGCGCTAACTCGTGAAACCACCATTAAAATGAGCACAGAAAATGTTGCAATTGTAAAATAGGAAGGATTTTTCTGGCGTCAATAATTGGGGAAACATCCATTGTTGACTCACCATCACCACAGTCAGTGACACAAACTAAACACATAATGTCAGCTTTTAATTAAATAAAAACACATCGAGAAAAACATGTGTAACGTACAAGCTTTCTCACATTACATATTGAATCATCTGTAAGTGACGCCCTTTAATACTGTCGCGGACACAATATCTTGCACCCATATTGCTTTTCAATTCATCCCAATATCAGCGTCAATAACATTTTTCGGTCTCCACAGTCAATTTCCTTGCATGAACTTCACGCCGCTCAACAAAAGGATCAATTACTGATCGAATACGAAAGGGATCCTGAGAAACATTCTCTCGAATTAGTAGATGTTCCCATCGCAGAACTAAGCGGAACTTTAGTATTCGATACATCAGCAGATAATAAATTGAGCCATTCGTACCCAAATCGTTACGCAAAAAACTATTTGAAAACATTAACAGTTTAACTCATTCTGGTGCCAGGGATCTGATCTAATTTCATCACGCTACGTGTCGCCAGGAATGGTCCAATAAGTATTTTACGATCGAATGCAAATGAAATCCTTACGACGTATCAACCAGCATTCCTTCCTTTTTGTGACTTCGAGACTACCACATATGTCAAATTTCACTCTTCTCCGCTGAAACCGCAGTCAAAACCTGATAGCGAACTAAGAGAAAACGCTCCCATTTTAAACGCGCCAACACAAAACAGCCTTACTCGACGTGGACGGGTAAATCGCACACCACGGCAGTTGGACGATTTTATACTAGCATCTATTTTTGAAATAAACATTTAGATTAATAGCGTAGCTCTTTACTTTCTCGTATATATCTACCCCATCGAAGAATATCACCGTATTACTCCTTTGTTCACAGCTATTATTTTTGTCTCACTTATGTTTTTTATTATGTTTTTCCATCGTTCGTGTTGACCACTTGCCCTATCACCTATGTCTGCCAAAAGTTTTGTCACTACCCTAACCAATTTAAAATATGGAAATTTCGTAGTTGCTGTAGTTTCTCCCCACACATCTTTCAAAATTTTTGATTAAATTGTGAATATTTCCATGTCATCACCCCCAAAATACTCAAAACATGATGTGATGGATTAACGTATCATTAGTAGTGTTTCTCTTCTTACAGACCATGGTTGTGTCTATAAGGTTGTCATTACTGGGCACAAACGCAATTATTTATTTTTATACTATTTTCATCTTGCACAGCTCAATTTTGAACATTTTTGTGTTCAGTAGTTTCTCAATGTCGCACTGTGTCAACGTCCGTGCTATATCTAACCGGATGATATTATTTCATATTTTAATGAGAATATATTGCCGTACAGCTGTTTTTGTTTGCACTCACACTGGCATTTTATCTTCAAATTGTCAACAATGATTCTTTCTTGTCCACGTCAATTAAACACATCAAATGGTGAAGTTTCGGCTTATCCAAGCGATCCAACTCCATTGCAATCTCCACATTTCACTGTTCTACTTGCTTTTACTTTTCATCCATAGTTAGAATACTCAATACTGTAAGATACCAGTGATAATTTTGATTTTTAGCTAGTTATAACTTATGGTTGCATATTAATACTGTTGTGACAGCGTGTTACCTACCACACTTGCTTCCAACATTAGACACCTCTTATAGCGACACCTAGACTCAGGTCATGTGAGCCCGTGACGCGCGCGCTGGCCACGTTTTGGCCACTCAACTGCTTCTAACAAGATTCCTCAGCTAAGTTAAGTTGTTTTAGTGTTTTATTATATATTTTATACTGTTTTACAATTGCTGCTTTTATTACAATATACAGCAAAGATTTTGCACGTTTAATGAAGACTTTGGAGCGGACACAAATAGAAGCACAGTCTCTGCACGCAATGGAGTCGTAGGACTACAACCAGATACCCTATACATGCACTGTTTTTTAATATCCATAGTAGGCTTGCACGTAATTTACGGATTTACGGAATTACGGAATTATTTCGAGTTACGGAAGCGAAGTTACGAATAACGTAAATTCGTAATTATTGGTCGAGCGCTTTCGCGATTGAAACGAGCTCTCTTCAGAGCAGTCAATTCCGTCGATTGTAAAAAATTAAAGTTTGTTAGAGTTCCGGTATTCGCAGCCGTTTTTCTCTCTCTTGTTACGCAGATGGAGAAGGCATAACGCGTTGCCATTTACTAACCTATTATCAACTTATCTAGCATGGCAAATGTACATATTAGGCGTAGATATGGCATAGAATTGTGTTGAGACCGATGGACGCCAACACACCTGGTTTCAACTTCTTCGGGTGAAATGACTAAAGAATGTAAGAGATCAACTTAGCAAACATGGTCTATTTGTAAATGCCGTGATAATTAATGTCGCGCTTAATAAACAGCAATATGACGACGGAAGAGAAATTGCGTAATGAACCAACGCAACTTAGTCTTTTCGGCATCGGTAAAGCGACTCAGACGGCAGAGAAACAACAAAAAGACGGGATTTCCCATGTTTATTCTGCGCGAGATCCATTTTCTATTACAAAATCTTGATGTTCTGTTACCGGTTTTATCGTTATATATCTGTCCGTACTTGGCCTTGTTTTCACAATGCCTCGCACTATTTCGGCCAAATAGGTCTTTACAAAATCTTTAAGTCTTTACCAAATGCGGCAACTTATTTTGATTTATCGTCGACTCAAATACCACCGGCACTCGACCAAACTTGTGTCGATCTTAGCCGATAGGATTGTCGACTTGAGTTAGAAAAGTAAATTAATATTTTCGTGAGTGCAAAATAAATGTCACAAAATGCATTGTTTTGCGATATAACTTTGTATTTTCGGAGAAGGCATGTCATATAAGTACGGTATTTAAATTATGCGCAAATAATTAATATTTGATCTAAATTTATCGCAAATAATGTTATAACATTTAGGCCGCGAAATGATTTAATGTAAAAAGAAGCATGGTAATCGGAATATCGTCAATAAGTCGGCATCAATAATTATTATAAAATGCTGACTAGGTAGTAAAGTCGGATAATGTAAAAAAACGGTACAATAACAAGTCTTCGTCGCGAGGCAAGCGCAAGTATAATCAAACGAGAGAATACGCTCGTCGTTGATTTATAAATTAGAAACCCGGAATTTTTATTTAATACGAAACTCGTATTAATACGTTAATACGATTTTAAAAAAGTCAACTATCGTTTCATAAATATTACCACTTACCAGTGTTGGTAATGATAAAATTGATCGCATAAAATTGGGTGATAAAGTTGATAAAGGAAAATCAAAGCTAACACAAAAGATAAAAATCAGAATAAAATTAATTTGAATTCACTCCTCGATATTTGTCTTTAGCATCTGTCGCCGGCGTGTAGTACTGGCGGAAATATGAAAACCAAACTGTCCCAACTGTCGATATCCCATTCGGAATAGAAGTGGATTAAATTGGTTGTTATGATAGGTTTAAAAGTGTGAAAAAAAATATCGCACTTACGGGGTCATTACGTAATCGATTTGGCCGTAATTACGGAATTGATTTTTGTCAATTACGTGCAAGCCTAATCCATAGAATACCTTATTTCGCAGTTTAATGTCAAGTACGCAAAAATATATTCTATCGATGCCACAAAAATAACTTTCGTAATAGTTAGTACAATATATGTGCGATTATTTTATTTCAGTCCAGGCATTAAAACTAACTAATTGTAAGTTACGCCCATATGCGAAATACTTATACATAGTTAACAACTCAACGCATCGTTGATGAACCATGGGCAACACATAGATAAAGTAACAAATGTTAATGGCTGGATGTTGAACTTGTTATTATTGTATGAAGCGTAAATAGTAGAGCTAATTAAATAGAAGAAATACTTAAACAGCGAAGTCTTGCTTAAATAGTAGAGCAATAAAACTGCAAGGCCAGGCTTTGCATTCAGATGCGGTGAAATAATGATCAAGCATTTGGAGCTGATGGATTTTTCAATATGGACGATGTATTGTTCACTCACAAAAGTAATACTTCAAATCAAAATATATTAATAAGGCCTTCTCAAAAACGGCCTCGCCCTGCCTTACGATCACTCACGCGTCAATGCTGAACTATATATATTTTGTGTAAACGATAGATTCTTAATCATGACTCCCGCACCACTACGTCATGATTCAGAGGACAGGATCTTGCGATGCGAAACGATGCAAGTCAGGTGTAGCAAGTTGAATGAGGCAAGAAGCGAAGAAAGAAATGTTAGTGTACAATTCACATTTCGAAAGGAATGTCAAGCCCACTATCTTTTATTTTTTCATTGTATAATTCATCGAAAGCTGCATTTTCATTTATTGTGAAATAGTTCTTCCAATCACCAACTTCACCTTTTCTCATGAACTTTGCCTTTTTAAAATCCATCCATCCCAAATTTTTGACATGTGAGTAATTTGTACTTTTGTTCTTGCTCATACTGTCAAATGTGCAGAAATTAAATATGATATCTATTTGTTCATTAGTTAGTTTTTTTCCAAGAAAGTTGGCTACAGCAACTATTTCCTTTTTCATGTCCTTCTTCATAGCTTCGTACGTAGTAAAGTAAATGCGTTCTTTGTCTGTCTGAAACTTCTAGAAAACAAGAGAGTAAGGCTCAAATATATTGACACGGAGGTAGAAGACCTTAAGAACATCGAGTTTGCTGGAAAAAATAATGATTAAGTGTGATGTAATGAGTGTTTTTCTATAATGTAATAACACAGAAAAAATTTGCGTAAAATATCGATTTCGATAGGACTCAAAAAAAATTTGAAAAAAAAAACTGAAAGTAATAACTTTCTGGCGACTATTTCTATCTGCGAGTATTATAAATTTGCAATCATTTAGTCCATTTGTCGTGGAAAATATCCCAACAACAACAAGAACTCAGCAAAACGATTCACAAGCTTTTGCAAGGCGCAACATTTTAAAACAAAAATCAAGACTAATTGTCTTATGAAGTTATTTAGTTCAAATAACCATTGTAGCTTCATTTAACACATTGCTGTTGTGTTGACCTGTGTTATGAAGCGTGTATGGTTTAAATATAGGATATTGAAGTTACGGCCTGATGGTGTCTTTAAAACACTAAACTCAACCAATACCTTATTTTTCAGACAATATCTTATCAAACGATTAATTTCGTGTCTTATTCTTATATATAATTACATCCGATGATTAAATAATAAAATGAGAGCAGATTTCACCTTCGCTAAGATGCCATTTACATGCATCATGTTCATAAATATGATCTTACCTCCCAGTATGTGAGAACATGCGGAAACCAGCTTCCAAACAAGATATTTCCAGAGCTATAATTTTTTAAAAATTCACTCCAGGTTCCTGGGTGCGGTAGTAGCATATTCATGACGTGAAAGAAGTAGTAAGAAACGCAAACGTCTTTCGCGTTCCGGGCGACATAAATTATCTTGCATTTGTTACCCGATTGAATATCTTCAGGCAGGAGCCCATAAGCGAGATGAGTCTTCATTATCCTGCAAGAATATTATATGCGAACTGAATGATATTACTGAATTGATGCGGTTCTAAAAATTGGAAATTTATTTTTCCAAAAGGTTGTTACACTCGATTTTAAGTCAGATGTCGCAGGGGTGGGCAAGGTTTTTGAACCAAGGGCCAAAAATTTAGCCCACCAAGACTGGTGGGTCATGTTAGTGTAACGTAAAAGTTACATTTTATGAACAATATTTACGGTGTTATGAAAGCAAAAGTGGAAAACAATAAGCCTCGTACCCAAACTAAATTTAATCGCTATCTCGAAAAATTCCTAGAGTTATTTTTCAGCTGTAGTATTAAAATTTGGTTTTAGTTTGGTTGTGGCAGCATCAGGCGGGCCAAATTGAATTACTCAACGGGCCGGATTTGGCCCGCGGGCCGTAGTTTGCCCATGTCAGTGTTAGAGCATAAAGCGCCATTACATTCACTTTTCAAAGGTTTGGAATACAAAAACATATTACTCATTGCTGAAAGGACGGGTTGATATAACCAGGTGGACAAAGCGCCTACTTTTCAATCTCTGGCTCCTTTTAGTATTTACTTGATAATGTGATCAGGATAAGAATTCGTGGAATGTTACGAACGTTATGACAGTCAATTCCGAAAACTAGCTACTGACTGGTATCAAACAAATATGATACTAACCTTTGCTTATTCTTTTGCCATTTTTCCAGCGTCTGTATTCCCAAAGACACGTTGTCGGTCATATCTACCGTTTCAAGAAAAGGAATTCGACTCGAAAGTGGTTTGTCCTCAGCAACATTGATATCAGCGTTGTTGCATATTAACCAAACAATTTGCTGCATCCATGTTGTACCTTCGTTAAATAAATAGCTCAATAAACTTTGTTTTTGTACGTTTTGAAAACAAATTAAAAACATTTTACTGGGAAGACTAGTTTTGCATAGCATAACATACTGTGAAATTGCACTTTTCTGTAGATTGTGATAGTGATAGAAAGTGTTCAATGCAGCATTTGTAGTTTTAGCGAAAAAGGGACATGAATTAAAAAATACAAATCAGTTCATAAAAGTAGTAGAAATCAATGTCATAATTCAATATTAAATATAGGTGGGATAAAAAATTATTGAAAATAAAAAGCCTAATTACAATTTCGGCGCCATAATTATATTCTCAACGTCATGGGGATGTGTAACTTTACTGACATCCGACTTTAAAATCATTCGGAGATGTGATTCAGAAATAAGTTATCTTTGAACGTCTTTTTTTACAATGCACTCACCTGATTTTGGATAAGTAGCAATAAAAACATCATCGTCTCTAATCTGGAATTTCAGAGCTTCCGCATATACTGCAGCCATTCCTGTGTTGCTTAATAGTGTTTCGTATCCATTGCATGCCCTAAAATGATATAGGTAACGTACCCTCAATATCTCCGACAAACCAGTCACACGAAGCAAATGTGGTATTCCGAGTTTTATCATCAGCTTCACTTCTGAAAGTTGAATTATCTTGTCAAAATATCCTCCAAATATACAATGTTAGGATGAGCCATGTAAGGTAAAAAATGTTTACTCTCTGGAGATATTAACATGTAATATTTGTTTTAGTTCGAGGTAAATTTTAGGTAAAATTGGACTAATTGCATTTCGTATAACTGCAAAAAATACCGGCAAACAGTATATATTATAAAAAAGATGGAACCTCGTAGCAAATTTTGTTGAGATTCTTCATAAGGCAGTATGGAAAAATGGAGTTATATGGATATACCACTCAGTGAAACATAAACTGAATATTAAAGACAGGCATAGAACTGAGGATTTACATGTGCTACTTATTATTACTACTTACTGAAGGAATCTCTGTCAATCATTCGCATTGATTTCCATCTTGTTCTTGCGTATAAAAACGCAGTAGAAAGAGCTATTGATAGTATAATAAAAACATGCATTCTGGATGATCTAATCCAAGTTTTCAATTTTATTACAGAATAAGGTAAATAAATAAAAAGGGAAAAAAAAGAATTGTCGTGACGATTGTGTCCATGAGTTGTACACAAAAATTTACATATAACGTGAAGTACGGCGACATCCCTGTGTACGCATAGTCGTTATAAGGATTAAGACGATTAAGACAGTTACAAGCAGTTTTGAAGTTCTATAAGTTTTAGAATTTTAACAAATTTACAGCGATGCTAGCGGTAATAGTCCAGTCTTCCACATTTATCGCAAAATATTTAACTCAGAAAATCCCGACTTTTCGTGTAAGTTCCCCTAACTATCTCGTACATCTTTAACAACAGTATGTATATCGACAATGGTATTGAAGGAAGTGGACCTTTAATTGTGGGCACAGTCTTCTAAAATTGATTGTCATCAATAGTAGCACAACTGTCTAAGTCTAAAGCTAGTTCGGCAGTTATATGGGATGTATTTTAGAAACCAGTCCTTAAGATAAAACAAACATTATCCTACATTTCTTTTTTGCAAAAAAGCTCGGCGTCCGTTATCTCCATGTGTATGAAATACGAATAAAATTAAATGTAGGTAGGTGATGCATGTAGATTGACACAGCTCAAAACGAAAAGGAACCCGATATTTTAAATCTGCACTTCATGTGTAACTGTATCAGCGCGCTAACTATGGCATATAAAATCACCAAGAAAGACAACTGGTTCTACAGCTCTGTGCCAGTTTACAACTTTGATTTGCTACAAATATTTATGAAAAATGTTGAGACTCAATAGTGATCGTTCAAGTTAAAACATGTATTGGCAAAATTTTCACTATATAAACAAATTCCACTATTTAATTAACTACCAATGGAGAAGTGGTTTTTAAATTATCATATGTCCTAAGACCTATTCCTTCACTCATTATAATGTTTTGATATTTGCTTGAACTTTAACATCAGTATGTTCAGTTGCATCATTAATAAAAACAACCCAAATAATGGCCGAAATTATACATTTCTATTACCAAAATTGAATATCAATATCGGTATTTTTCATCCTCTTTTTATCGAGATCATCACCAGCTGCATATTCTTTAAGTGTGAAGTAATTCTTCTACTCGCCAACTTCTCTCTTTTTCGTGAATTTGGACAACTCGAAATTCATTCCTACATTTTTGGCATGAGAGTCATTTGTACACTTTTATTTTTACTTATATTTTTGAATGTGCGGTGTTCAAATATCGTATATATTTGTTTATCAGTGAGATTCCGTCACAGAATACTAAATTTATTCACCTTTCAAGTCTTTCTTTAAAACTTCGTATGTAGTAAAGTAGATATGTTCTTTGTCTGACTAATAATTCTAGAAAAACTAAATACCTAATCCCAAAAGAAAACTAAAAATTCATATTCATTCAAATAAAAACAAAAACAGCATTCATAAAATAGGTTCTACCTGTCGACAATTCATTACTTGAAAAAACCCGCTTCCATATGATATATATATTTCTTTCGTAGGATTTTGCTAAAACCTTCAAATTCCTGAACTTGGCAAAATATTCATAACGTGGAAAAAGTACCACTTTTTGGGGAATTTCGTGCAACATAAATAATTTCCATTAATTTGAAAAAATACGCAGTTCCGAATTATATATACATATATAATAATAATATATACAGAAATATATTCTATTGATGCCACGCGAATAACTTTTATAATAGTTAGTACAATATATATGCGAATAAATTATTCTAATCCAATATTAGAAGATTTCTAACGAACGTGTATCAAACTGATGTTCAAGAGCGGTATACACTAACTAATTTTAAGTTACGCCCTTATGCAAAATACTTATACGGAGTTGACAATTCAACGCATCGTTGATGAACCATGGGCAAAACATAGATTAAGTGACAAATGTTAATGGCTCGAGGTTGAACTTGTTAGTGTTGAATGGAGCGTAGCGTATATATTAGAAATAATTAAACAGCAAAGTCTTGCTTGAATAGTAGAGCAATAATACCGCAAGGCCAGGCTTCGCATTCGAATGCGTTGAAATAAGGATCAAGCATTTGATGCAGATGGATTTTTCAATTTGTACGATGTATTGTCCATCCACAAAAGTAATAATTCAAATCAAAGTATACTAATACAGGTTTTCTCAAAAACGGCCTCGCCCTGCCTCGCGATTACTGAAGCGTCAATGCTATACTATGTGTATTTTGTTTAAACGATAGATTCTTATTCAAGATTCACGTACCTACACGAAATGATTCAGTTGACTGGATTTTGCGATGCGAAACGATGCAAGAAATGTTGCAAAAATCAGGTGTAACACGTTGAATTAGGCGAGAAGCAAAAATATTTGTGTACAGTAACTTAATAAATGGAGTGTCATAAAGAATATCTGGTACCTGATGTAACACACACTCACACTAAACGGAAAATACAAGTGGCTAAATTTTATTAACGCAAGGAAATAGAAATTTATGCTACCTTACTCAAATCAATTACCAACAACTGCAAAATCACATTTATTCTTTACAGTGAATATAAAAAAAAAACATTTCAACCTACACAGAAGTTCGCTAATTTAATTTGACAGTACATATTCGCATGGTTGGATTTGTAAATGTTTACAGAAGAGTAATAGTGATAATGCAGGTTAGCATATAAATCAAATATTTGAAACAATCAATATCAAATGCAAAAGTATGTCAATAAAATTTCGAAAACTTTGAAATATCAGATAATATAAGTTTGAATATTATATGGATATATAAATAAATAATTTGGAACCTAATATTGTTTTATGTTTTAATATGTGAATGATCTATTATATCTGATATTTAGTATGATAAAGAAATCAGCAATTGATGTATTCAAAAATTTAAATTCAATTCTTAAATCACAACTCGAAAGGAATGTCAAGTCCACTAGCTTTTATTTTTTCTGCGTATAATTCATCGAAAGCTGCATTTTCATTTACTGTGAAATAGTTCTTCCAATCACCAACTTCGCCTTTTCTCATGAACTTTGACTTTTTAAAATTCATTCCCAAATTTTTACCATGTGAGTAATTTGTACTTTTGTCTTTGCTCATACTGTCGAATGTGCAAAGATTGAATATGATATCTATTTGTTCATTTGTTAGTTTCTTTCCAAGAAAGTTGGCTACAGCAACTATTCCCTTTTTCGTGTCCTTCTTCATAGCTTCGTACGTAGTAAAGTAAATGCGATCTTTGTCTGTCTGAAACTTCTAGAAAACAAGAGAGTAATGCTCGAATATATTGACAAGAAGGTCAAAGATCTTGAAGCCTCGAATTTGCTAAAAAGAATGATGGACAAGGTTGACGGGGTGGTGAGGTGTAGTAGAATAAGTGTTTTTCTATAATGAAAAAAAAATTTGTTCATATAGTTTTCTTACCTCCCAGTATTTGAGAACATGAGGAAACCAGCTTCCAAACCTGATATTTCCAGAGCAATAATTTTTTAAAAATTCACTCCAGGTTCCTGGGTGCGGTAGTAGCATATTCATGACGTGAAAGAAGTAAAAAGAAACGCAAACATCTTTCGCATTCCGGGCGACATAAATTATCTTGCATTTGTTACCCGATTGAATATCTTGAGGCAGGAGTCCGTAAGGGAGATGAGTCTTTATTAGCCTGCAAAGATTTTATATGCGAACTGAATGATATTACTGACTTGTTGGGGTTTTAAAAATTCGTAATTTATTTTTGCAAGAAGGTTATTACACTCGGTTTTAGATTAGATGTTACGGGCAATGTTTTTGAACCAATGGCCGCAAATTTTGCCCACCTAGACTGACGGGCCATGTAAGCGTAACGTAAAAAGTTATATTTTGTGAACAATATTTATGGTGGTACAAAAGCAAAAGTAGAAAACAGTAAGCCTTGAGCAAAAACCAAATTTAATCGCTATCTCAAAAAATTCTTTGATCTATTTTTTTAAATTTGAAACATCAAAATTTGGTTTTAGTTTGGTTTTGTCAGCATCATGCGGACTAAATTGAATTACTCAACGGGCCTGATTTGGCCCGCGGGCGGTAGTTTGCCCATGTCAGTGTTAGAGCATAAAGCGCCATTACATTCACTTTTCAAAGGTTTTAAATACAAAAACATATTACTCATTGCTTAAAGGACGGGTTGATAACGTTGATAAAGCGCCTACTTTTCAATCTCTGGCTCCTTTTAGTATTTACTTGATAATGTTATCAAGAAAAGAATTCGTGGAATGTTACGAACGTTATGACAGTCGCTTCCGAAAACTAGCTGCTGACTGGTATCAAACAGATATGATACTAACCTTTGCTTATTCTTTTGCCATTTTTCCAGCGTTTGTATTCCCAATAACACCTTGTCGGTCATATCTACTGTTTCAAGAAAAGGAATTCGACTCGAAAGTGGCTTGTCCTTATCAACGTTGGTATCAGCGTTGTTGCATATTAACCAAACAATTTGCTGCATCCATGTTGTACCTTCGTTAAAGTATATGATTCAATAAACTTCTATAAGTTTAGTACGACCCGAACAAATCAAAAACATTTCACTGAGAAGACTAGTTTTGCATAGCATTGCATACTGTGAAATTGCACTTTTCTGTAGATTGTATAAGATAATATTGATGAATCAACTAAATGAGAAACAAGATGTCATATAATTAATATAAAATCAATGCCATAATTTGATATTCAATAGAGGTGAGAAGGAAAAACAAATGAAAATGAAAAGCCGAAATACTATTTTGACTTCATAATTTTGTTTTCAACGTCACGGGATGTGTAACTTTATTGCCATACGACTTTAAATTAGTCGGAGATGTGATCGAGAAATAAGTTATCCTTGAATGTCACGTATCCATGAATGTCGTCTTTTACAATGCACTCACCTGATTTTGGATAAGTAGCAATAAAAACATCGTCATCTCTAATTTTGAATTTCAGAGCTTCCTCATACACAGCAGCCATTTCTTTGTTGCCCAATAGTGTTTTATATCCATTGGATGCCGTAAAATGATATAAGTAACGTACCCTCAACATCTCCGACAAACCAGTCACATGGAGCAAATGTGTTATTCCAAGTTTCATCATCAGCTTCACTTCTGAAAGTTGAATTATCTTATCTCAATATTCTCCGAATATAAAATGTAGGCGCAAGAATGAACAATGTAACGTGAAAAATGTTTAATCTATGAAAATATTACCAGGCAATATTTGTTTTAGTTAGATTATTCAAAATTTTTTTTAGGTAAACTTGGACTAATTGCATGTCGTATTACTGCATAAAATACCGGCAAGCAGAATAGAATATAGAAAAGATGAAACCTCGTAGCAGATTTTGGTAAGATTCTCCATAAGGTATGAAAGAATGGAGTTATAATTAAAGACACCAATACGACTGAGGGTTTACATATAGTACTTATTATATACTATACTCACTGAAAGAGGTTCTATCAACCAGTCGCGTTGATTTCCATCTTGTTCTTGCGTATAAAAACGCAGTAGCAAAAGCTATTAATAGTATAATAAAAACTTGCATTCTGGATGATTTATTCCGAAATTATCTCTACGTAATTTTATAAAGCAAAATACAAAGTTAAAAAAAAAATTGTCGTGACGACAATGAGTTTGACTAAACATCGACAATCACCAAAATAAATTTGTATATATTTGTATAAAATTTGTAATACGCGCTACACTGGTACTGAATATACACTTCAATATCGCATGCCGGAACAATATTTCACCGTCATTATAACACCATGAGTTGTACATGAAGATTTTCATAAAGGTGTACGCATAGACTGTATAAGGATTGAGACAATCACACACAGTCTTAAAGTTCTTCAAGTTTTAGAATTTTAACAAATTTGCAGCGATGCTAGTGGTAATAATCCAATCTTCCACCTTAATAACAACAAATTTGACTCAATAATATTCCGACTTTCGATGTAAGTCCCTCAAACTATCTCGAACATCTTTGACCAAAGCATGCATACCGACAACGCTATCGATAGGCATCCAATTCTGGACCCAGCCTGCTAAAATTGATTGCCATCAACAGTAACACAACCGTCCAAATGTAGTTCGGCAGTTATATGAGATATATTTGAGGTACCGACGCAGAAGATAAAATAAACAATATCCTACATTTCTTTATTGCAAGAAATCAAATATTAGCATATTGACTCTCGACTCCGTCGTCCGTTATTCCAGTGTGTAGGATATACGAATAAAATTAAATGTAGAATATGCATATAGATCGACACAGCTCAATACGTTAAAGAACCCGATATTTCGAATCTACAATTCATGTGTACAACTGTATCAATGCGCTAATGGCAATCTTAAGCTTATCCATGCTGTGCCATATATAAAATTGCTAGGAAAAAACATTTGTTTTTAGAGTTGTGTGCCAGGTTACAACTTTTTAACATCAGTACATAAATTCTATCGTTGATAAAAGCAACCCAAATGATGGCCAAAAATTAAACATTTCTTGTACCAAAATTGAATATCAATATCGATATTTTTCGTTTACTCTTTGCCGAGCTCATCATAAGCTGCATTTTCGTTAAGTGTGGAGTAATTCTTTCAGTCACCAACTTCCCTCCTTTTTTGTGAATTTCGAGAACTCGAAATTCATCCCTGCATTTTAGGCATGAGAGTCAATTGGACATTTATTTTTACTTATATTCCTGAATGTGCGGTGTTTAAATATCGTATCAATTTGTTTATCAGTAAGATTCTTTCCCAGAATAATAAATTTATTTCCCCTTCAAATCTTTTTTTAAAGCTTCGATATAGCAATACAGGTAGCTAAATTCTATTAACACAAGTAGATAGAAATTTGTGTTACCTTACCCAAATAAATTATCAACAGCTGCAAAATCACATTTATTCTTTACAGTGAATTTAAAAAAAAAATCAACACACACAGAAGTTAGATAAGTAAATTTGACAGTACATAATCGCATAGTTGGATTTGTAAATTATAACACAAGAGTAATAGTGATAATACAGTTTAGCATATAAATCAAATATTTGAAACAATCCATATGTTTTTATTACCTCACAGAATTAATTTCGTACTTGTTTTGATTCGTTTTGCAACAATCTACGAGCATCGAATTCGAAATTACGTCATTAAAGTTTCATTCAGTCGAAAACTACGAAATACACGATAATATGAGTTTGAATATATAATTAAAGATAGAAATAATTCGGAACAGAATTTTGATCTAAGTTGTAATATTTGAATAATCCGTTTTATCTGATATTCACTATAACAGAGAAATCAGCAATTGATGTATTTAAAAAATTCAATTTCAAAATCACACCTCGAAAGGAATGTCAAGTCCACTATCTTTTATTTTTTCTTCGTATAATTCATCGAAAGCTGCATTTTCATTTATTGTGAAATAATTCTTCCAATCACCAACTTCACCTTTTCTCATGAACCTTGACTTTTTAAAATTCATTACCAAATTTTTAACATGTGAGTAATTTGTACTTTTGTCCTTGCTCATACTGTCGAATGTGCAGAAATTAAATATGATATCTATTTGTTCATTAGTTAGTTTCTTTCCAAGAAAGTTGGATACAGCAACTATTTCTCTTTTCAAGTCCTTCTTCATAGCTTCGTACGTGGTAAAGTAAATGCGTTCTTTGTCTGTCTGAAACTTCTAGAAAACAAGAGAGCAATGCTCAAAATATATTGAAAAGAAGGTCAAAGATCTTGAAGCATCGAGTTTGCTGAAAAGATTGGTGGACAAGGTTGGCGTGGTGGTGAGGTGTAGTAGAATAAGTGTTTTTCTATAATGAAATAAAACAGAAAAAATTAGCGTAAAATATCGTTTTCCAGGACTCAAAAAAAAATTTAATAAAGAAAATATACTGAGAGTAATAGCTTCCTATCGACTATCTCCATATTCAATTATTATAATTATGCAATCTGTTATTCCATTTGTTGTGGCAATCATCCCAACCACAACAAGAATTTAGCAAAAGGATCCATATGCTTCTTCTGTGCTTCCAATAAGTAATAAAGACAAGAGCATAAGTTAATTTGAGCATGGTATATTTGCCTAATTGAAAATCAATGCAAAATGAGTAACAACAGCTTTTTACATTTTGGTTTGACAGTCACGGAATACCATAGATTTTTGAATGGGGCGCAAAAATTTAGAACATAATTCAAGACTAACTATCTTATGAAGTTATTTTTTTCAAATAACCATTGTAGCTTCATTCAACACATTGCTGTTGTGTTGACATGTGTTATAAAGCATGGATGGGTTGGATAAGTTATTGTCCAACACTAAACTCAACTAATAGCCTATACTTATCAGGCAATAAATATTTCATTAAACGATTATTTTCGTGTCTTATCCTAATATATAATTACTTCTGATGATTAAATATGAAAAATGAGCGCAGATTTCACATTCGCCAAGAAGCTATTTACATGCATCATGTTCATAAAGTGTCCCTACCTCCCAGTATGTGAGAACATGAGGAAACCAGCTTCCAAACATGATATTTCCAGAGCTATAATTTTTTAAAAATTCACTCCAGGTTCCTGGGTGCGGCAGTAGCATATTCATGACGTGAAAGAAGTAGAAAGAAACGCAAACATCTTTCGCATTCCGGGCGACATAAATTATCTTGCATTTGTTACCCGATTGAATATCTTCAGGCAGGAGTCCGTAAGGGAGATGAGTCTTTATTAGCCTGCAAAGATATTATATGCTGACTGAAAGATATTATTGAATTGTTGGGGTTCTAAAAAATCGGAATTTATGTAATGCAAAAAGGTTGTAACACTCGGTTTAAGATGAAATGTTAGAGCCCAAAGCGCCATTTCATTCACTTTCAAAGATTTTAAATAAACAAACTCATTACTCATTGCTGAAATGAAGGGTTGATATAACCACGTGGACAAAGCGCCTACTTTTCGGTCTTTGGCCCCTTTCAGTATTTACTTGATAATGTTATCAGGAAAGAATTGAAATCTTACAAACGTTATGACAGTCGCTTCAGAAAACGAGCTACTTGTATCAAACAGTTATATGATATACTAAACTTTGCTTATTCTTTTGCCATTTTTCAAGCGTTTGTATTCCCAATAACACGTTGTCCGTCATATCCACTGCTTCAAGAAAGGGAATTCGACTCGAAAGTGGCTTGTCTTCAGCAACGTTGGTATCAGCATTGTTGCAAATTAACCAAACAATTTGCTGCATCCATGTTGTACCTTCGTTAAAGTAAAGTGTTTAATGAACTTTTATTAGTTTCGTACGACTTGAAAACAAATTAAAAACATTTTACTGGAAAGACTTGAAAACAAATTAAAAACATTTTACTGGGAAGACTAGTTTTGCATAGCATTGCATACTGTGAAATTGCACTTTTTTGTAGATTGTGTTCAATGAAGTATTTGTAATTTTAGCGAGAAAGGGACGTGAACTAAAAAAGATAAATCAGGTCATATAAGTAGTAAAAATAATTTGATAATAAATACAGGTGAGATGAAAAATGAATAAAAATGAAAAGCCTAATTACAATTTTGGCGTCATAATTCTATTTTCAACGCCACGGGGATGTGTAAATTTACTGGCATCCAACTTTAAAATCATGCGGAGATGTGATCCAGAAACAAGTTATCTATAAATGTCACCTTTTACAATGCACTCACCTGATTTTGGATAAGTAGCAATAAAAACATCATCATCCCTAATTTTGAATTTTAGAGCTTCCTCATACACAGCAGCCATTCATGTGTTGCTTAATAGCGTTTTATATCCATTGGATGCCGTATAATATATAGGATATAGGTAACGTACCCTCAATATCTGTGACAAACCAGTCATATGAAGCAAATGTGCTATTCCGAGTTTAATCATCAGCTTCACTTCTGAAAGTTGAATTATCCTGTTAAAATATTCTCCGAATATAAAATGTTAGCGCAAGGATGAACAATGTAACGTGAAAATGTTTAATCTCTGGAAATATTACTAAGCAATATTTTTTTTAGTTAGATTATTTAAAAGTTCAATTTAGTTAAACTGGACTAATTGCATTTCGTATTACTGCAAATGATACCGGCAAACAGTATATATTATAGAAAAGATGGAACCTCGTAGCAGATTTTGGTATACAGTACTATTTATATAACTACTTACTGAAAGAGTATCTGTCAATCATTCGCATTGATTTCCATCTTGTTCTTGCGTATAAAAACGCAGTAGTAAGAGCTAATGGTAGTACAATAAAAACTTGCATTCTTGATGATCTAATCCAAGTTTTCAGTTTTATCACAGAATTCTCTACGTAATTTTATGAAACTATTTACAAAGATAAAAAAGAAATTGTCGCGAGGATTGTGTTCTACTGAACGTCGACAACCACACTACGATTTAGCGAATACTTTTACCATGTCGTTCAGGAATGTTAGGATGAATATGAATGCATTCAATTTTTTGTATTGTATTGCATCGAAGATAATTACGGCCCTTGGATTAAGCCTGGAGTGGCCGACCCGCAGCTCGCGAGCCGCATGAGGCTGTTGCGTCGGTTTTATGCGTCTCATTTCCCCTTGGTTATATTAAGGAAAAAATAAAATGCAAACTACGATTCATCTCAATTCGATCAAACACCCTAATTATCTCGTACATATTTAACCACAGTATATATGTAGACAACGCCATGGATGGGCCGCTAATTGTGGACGCAGCCTGCTAAAATTGATTGCCACCAACGGCAATACAACCGCATATATGTAGTTCAGCAGTTATATGAAATATAATTAAAATACCAGCGCAGAAGAAAAAACAAACAATTTCCTATATTGATTTATTGCAAAAAAAACAAATATTAGCATATTGTGCTCGGCTCGGCGTCCGTTACCCCAGTGCAGTAGTTTCCAACCTTTTTTATGTCGCGGCACTATTGAGCTATTTTAAAATAATAAAAAACATAGAAGATCAGATGAAGAAAAATCTATTCTTGTTAATGTAACATATATATCCTGTTTTCAAAATGGAAATGACATATCCTAATTTCGGAGCACCTCACATTATTGTAAAAGATTCGCGTCCGCACGGGTAATACGTGACGCGAATACGCTTTAGTTTTTCTCGCCCTTCCGTTGGGTGTAGCCTTATTATTATCACAGGTATTCTCACTTTTGCACAACCTAATTCATCCTAATCTTTTCACGTTATGAATTTCGTGCAGGGCCCGAGCATGATTTGATGGCCAAAATTGTAGCATTTACTATGTCGGCTTTTCAGACCGCAGAAACTATCCGAAAAATAACCGTGAAATAATAGAAAGATATGAAATAATCGTCAATTCCACTACGCTTTCATGAAGTAGTGCAATTTACTAAATTTAATGAGGGTTTTATTATTAAGTTTCATTGCATCAGTGTTTGTGCTCCCACGCGTTTTGTCTGAATACTGGCATGATTACAGATTGCAAGAATGGACAAAATAAAATATTTTTATTGAACCGAATAATTCGAATATTTTTAACGAATTGTCGAATATAGGATATTTTTAAAACACATACAATGAGCATCCAGGCATTTTAAGGTTGGTGATCTATTTCCGTCCGTCCTCTCTTTTTTACAAGGACTATTTCTTACGCAACGTTTGGTTTTATATCTCTGGGAGAACTATGCGTTCACATGGGCGACATATGTTAAAGACGGCTGTTAAAAAGTGAATTCGGGATTTTATTCTGATTTTTATCTTTTACGCCGGTTTTGATCTTTCTCCCCACCGATTGTAAATTAACTGTCCCAATTTTAAGCTAACAATATTATCATTTCTGACGTCGGAATGCGGATATTTATAAAGACGATAGTTGACCTTCTTATGATTTTACTTTCCTATTATGCCTGTTTTATTTTCGTATTAAATGGTGAATAAAAACCCTGCAAAGTCATTGCGTGAATCTTAAATGTTATTTGAGTTTAAATAGTCTACTAGTCACATAATAATTCCTTGGTCAAACTTGGGGATAATTTCGCACAATAATTTGTTACCTTGGTTGACATTTACAATGCAAAACTTAGAATTAAAACAATACCCAAATACCTGAAATATGACTCCTCAATTTTGTCGTTTCTGTTTGTTAGCAAGAGCCATGGGATAATTCTTGTAGAATTCAAGGGATCGGAATCACTTGAAATTAATTCAAATATGAAATCTCTTCGCGGCACACCAAAATCTTTCTGCGGCACCTTAATGTGCCGCGGCACCCTGGTTGGGAGCCACTGCCCCAGTGTGTATGACAGGGTGGTCCAAGGTTGTCGGTTTCGGGAGCCACAAAATCATTTTTGCATTGTTTGCGGGTCACAATAGTGCCAAGAATAGGTAAAGAGTGCGAAAAAATCTGCAAACACATAGTTCTCAGGCATTGCCATCCTAGGCTAATAGAATCCGCATTCGATTTTTAGTTATCTATGATTCCTATGTTGTTAGCATATAGGCTTATTCCCGACTAAAACGATAAAAAGTCAGATAACAATATAGACTCCCAACACATCATTCAACTTTGCTAGGTGTCTCAGTTAGCCACAATACTAGTCAATTCAGTGACATTAGTGATGTAACTTTGGGTGCCGCTGTTAAATAACCAACTTTGGTTCCCCGCGGCTTCCCTTCCCCAGTAAAATATTGTTCTTTAATTTTTGCTAATTTTTTGCACCGTTTAATATTTTACTGGTTAGAAAAAATAAACTTGACTTGACTATGACTAACAACATGTCAAAGGATTATTTTTAATTAATTTAATTTTATGACGACGAAACAACACGGAATGCAATATGATTGCTCTCCGAATGCGACGCGGGCCACAGAAAATGAAGCTGCGGGCCACATGTGGCCCATGGGCCTGGGTTTGGACCACTCTGGTGTGTGACATACCAATAAAATTAAATGTGGATTATGCATATAGATCGACACAGCTCAAGACGAGTAAGGACGCGATATTTCAAATCTACACTGTATGTGCAACTGTATCTATGCTCTAACCATGGCAATCCTAAACTTATCAGCGCTGTTGCATAAAATCTCTGAGAAAAGACAACTGTTTCTGGAGTTGTGTGCCAGCGTAGAACTTTGATTTGCTACAAATAATTATGAAAAATATTGAGACTCATTAGTGATCGTTTCATTTGAAACATGTGATAGTAAAATTTTAAATATTTAAACAAATTCCCATATTTAATTAACTTTCATCGGAGAAGTTGTTTTAAAATATCAAATGTCTAAAACCTATTCGTCACTCTTTACAACAGAGGGTCTTAACCTTTCCATGCCTACCGAGTTCCTGAACTATTCGGCAAGATTCCGCCGAACCACATCTTTCTGAACGGCTGAAATTAGGAGCCCTATCCTAAATTTATATTGGGGAAGCTAATTTCGTGCAAGGTTATAGAAATTGAACGTTATTGTGTAACCTTAGATTCCGATACCCCATGTAGAAATAGTCTTTGTTTTGTCACAATAATGTCGCCGGCAGGGAGAGTGAATGTCTTTTGTTGTATAAGTAACGCGAGTGAAAGGGCGAAAAACGGATGAAGAAATAGCAACTTTGAAAATCCAAAAGATGATAATATGCCTCAAAAACGTCGGTAGTTCAAGTCATTCGTTTCTCAAACTTCAAACTGCATTGAAATGCGCATAAAAGCGTTTGCCAATTGTTTTTCGTTTCACTGAAATAGAAATATGATATTACTCGGCGCCATATCACAAATATTCAGGGTAAAAATCCATGGTTTGTCATAACTACCCGAGATATTTCAAAGCCATAAGCAGAAAGCATCTAAAAGCGCTACCATAGATAAAAACAAACACCAAAACGCGCGACATCTGTAAAGTTGATACGTTCTTTGTCTGACTGATAGTTCTAGAAAAACTAAATCCCATTCCTGGACAAGGCAAAATATTCATAATGGGAAAAAAGTACTAGTTTTGGGGAATTTTGTGGAAGGCGATACGTAAGTAGTTTTTACCTCGGTATCGGCATCATTGAAAATCAGTCAAGCAATCTGATTTATAGCTATAAAATGGGGAAAACCTATTATAATGTTTAGCAACAAACCGGCAGTGTTTAGGGGTAAGCGAAATATATATCACAGCGAAGTATATACAAAACGAATAAACAAGATATAAAGACTTACATCGTCCTTATTTAGGCCTAACTCTAGCAATTCACTACTTTTTTGAAGTGAACTATATTTGATTATACACATGCACCGATTTTTAATATCCACAGAATATTTTATTTCGCAGTTTAAGTCAAGTACGGAGAAATATATTCTATTGATGTCAAAAGAATAACTTTCATATTAGTTAATATAAAATAAATGCGCCTATTTCATTCTAATCCAGGTATTAAAAGTTTTTTTTACTTGCCTGTATCAAACTGATGTCCAAGAGCGGTAGACACTATTTAATTTTAAGTTACGCCCTTATGCAAAATACTTATATGGAATTGACAATTCAGCGCATCATTGGCAACTCGTAGATAATGTAACAAATTCTAATAGCTCGATGTTGAACTTGTTACTGTTGAATGGAGCGTAAATGGTATAAATAACCAAACGGCAAAGTCTTGCTTGAATAGTAGAGCAAGAATACTGCAAGGCCAGGCTTTGCATTCAAATGCGGTGAAATAATGATCAAGCGTTTGATGCAGATGGATTGTTCAATTTGTACGATGTATTGTCCACTCACAAAAGTAATAGTTCAAATCAAAATATATTAATAAGGTCTTCTCAAAAACGGCCTCGCCGTCAACTCACGCGTCAATGCTGAACTATATATATTTTGTCTAAACGATAGATTCTTATTCATGATTCATTTTGTTACGTAAAGAATATAATTATAATATAAACAGCTGTTTTGTTACTATAATTCAGTGAAGCTTCGCGGACGGATTATATTGCTCCGCGGGCCGGATCCGATGTAGGTTGCCGACCCCTACTCTACGGTATGATTCAGAGGACTGAGTTTTGCGATGCGAAAAGATGCAAGAAATGTTGCAAAAGTCAGGTGTAACACGTTGAATGAGGCGAGAAGCGAAGAGAAAAATATTTGTGTACAGTAACTTAATAAATGGAGTGTCATAAAGAATATCTGGTACCTGATGTAACACACACTCACTTTAAACGGAAAATGCAAGTGGCTAAATTTCATTAACGCAAGAAGATAGAAATTTATGCTACCTCACCCAAATCAATTACCAACAACTGCAAAATCACATTTATTCTTTACAGTGAATATAAAAAAAAACATTTCAACCTACATATAGAAGTTGGGTAAGTAAATTTGACAGTACATATTCGCATGGTTGGATTTGTAAATGATTACAAAGAGTAATAGTGATAACGCAGGTTAGCATATAAATCAAATATTTGAAACAATCTATATCAAATGCAAAAGTATGTCAATAAAATTTCGAAAACTTTGAAATATCAGATAATATAAGTTTGAATATTATATGGATATATAAATAAATAATTTGGAACCTAATATTGTTTTATGTTTTAATATGTGAATGATCCATTATATCTGA